ATATATTTATACCTATATACATTTATACCATAATATAACAGCTGATATATTATGGTATAAATTAATATGAAATCGAATCATTCAATTATTGGATTTCTTAAAAAAAAACAGATATATATCACGCATAGATATAAACGACATCATTGGTAACACAGTATATACTGTGCCGTCTACGGGCCATAGCAACAGCAATACAGTTATAACATAATTTTCGAGCCACTTAACTCAATTACCTACTGATATCTGTTACATGCCATAATAAATAAGTATTACGTACCGTAACTTGGGAGAGTTTATCTGACGGCCCTGTAATTACGTTTGACGATTACCGTAAACGCTGTAACCGTAGATAAAAAAATGAAATAGATAACGCTGTTGAGTACAGGCCACATATATTGTTTATAGTTTTTATTTATTTACTTATTTATTTATTTATTTAACTCTTTACTGCACCATAAATAAAAATATACAATGACAAGTGAATAATTCAAGTGAAATATAGTAACATAAATAGAGATTGAAATATATACATAAAGGTATAAAAAGCGGTCTTATCGCTAGGGCAATCTCTTACAGACAACCTTTGGTTAAAGGAGAACAGATAAAAGTGGGTAGATGGCGCAAGAGTGAGTTAATAATTTTTCGTGCATAAAATACAAAAAAGTTTTTATGTTATTATCTACCAATATCAAAATCGACTTTTGACTTAGCTTCACGGCCCTAGTTTTCTAAGTTTCCTTTATTAATAGACATATATCAATAAAAAAAAATCTTATTGGGAAAAGTTGCTTACAGGAAAAAAAAACGAGTACAAAAATACTTACCGTCTGGAAAATATTTATACTTATTTCTTTTACTAATAACTAAGCTGTGTAGAATAAATAAAATATAAAGAATGTTACTTATATAGAGCGTTCACTGTAATTTCCATTTCTGGTTTCCTTGGTTGCTCACAAATACACAAAAATTTAAATGGTCACCATCGATGTCGCAGTTTTTCTTTGCCAACCAAAATTCTGCATTATAAAAAAAAACAACTTATATGTTAATAGACACACGACTCTTTGTTCTAAATGCAAATATTTTAAAATTTAACATCTAACTTCATGACATTGATCGGTGCATTTTATTCATTTTAAAATAAGAATACAGAGATCACTAGTTTTGTCACGATTGAAGTCACTATTTTGTTTTATGGAGCGAGATCTGCTCGATCTATCTACATTTGGTATATATTTTCTGCATTCTAAATTCAAATCATTTTATACCAATATGAAATATTTTGTCAGCCATCGTTTTTTTTATTCGTTGCAAAAATACAATTTAAAAAAAGAATTTAAAATAAGAACAGTATGATTTGTAGTCATCGATTCAATAGAAATTTAATCTCTCAAACTATCTTTTCTTGGAGAAGGTCATAGGTATAATCTAAGGTTATGGCGTCCATATATGGTCTTTTAAGCTAACATGTGTCAGAATAAAATCCAAGCAACATACATTATACTGTGCGCTTGTATTATCTAATTCATATCTAGTAATCTATGGTGGTAACTATTACAGATAGAAATCAGCGAAGCATTTACAACTTCATATGCAATAAAAAACGGTTTTAACTGCCTGCCAACACACCGTATGATCCTTGCATATTTGTTTTACAGTCGCCACGTAATGTTTCTTTAACGGACTCTTTTAAAATGTTTAAACTTTTGACAGTTCAACTTTTTAATTTCTAGTTTCAATATTAAAAGTGGTAAAAGAAATATACGTAAACTGCCTAATCTTATTATTATGTTTAGTATCTATTGATACTAGCTACCCGCGTCAGTTTCGCATGTACGTATAAATGAAGAAAATTTCAACTGAACGTCTGTCTGTCGAAGATTTTAAAGATCTCCCAATTCTGTGTCACTCGGTTTTTAAATAGGGATTTTTTATCCCAATATTTTCAGTCTTATCTACAATTTTTTCATACAAACCTAAAAGACGGGACAGTCAATTATAAAGACAAAAAACAAAGAATCAGCCAAATAGGTGCAGCTGTTCTGAAGTAATGCGCTAAGAGCTTACATAAGAATACACTCGGAAACTGATTTTTATTTATATAGATTTAGAAAGATAAGAGAGTTTAATTGTTTGGTACTTCTTAGCGCTTTAACAGCTCAACCAATTGTCATGAAATTTGGCATCTCATACAATTTGGGTTAAAAAGGACATGGGCTAATATTTATATTCTCACATTGGATGCCGAACGGTTAACACTAGGCTCCGAGCAGCGATCTATCAATTTGCTTAAAGGTGACTCCTTTAGAGGTGAAACACGTGCCGCAAAACATGCGTGGACGAAATGGCGGTTGAAGATTGATGGCTAACCATCCAGGTTGTGAAACTTCTGTTAGTATAGTGGTGGTCAATCTTCGAGTGTTGCCAGTCGCACGCATACTATTAATAGCAGAATTAAAGAAAATAATTCTAATCAAATAACTATTTATATTGCGATCACATAGGCGAAGTCACAGGTAAAAGCTAGTAATACCGTAAATGTATCAGTTCTTATAAATTCATAGATATTTTTCTAAAGCTATTCTATAAGAGATAATAAATAAAATATAATAAAAAAGTTGAGAGTCAAGTCAGACCGGTCGTTAAATATAAATTTATGTTTTAAAAGTGACAAGAAATTTTATGTAAAATAAGTGGGCTCATATATGTGAAGGCTATACTTTCCCTTTACGATGAAAAGCCTCCTGCGGCCGTGGTCAATGACCGCAGAACCTGCTTATCGCCGAATCCTGATTTAAAATCTTGCAATCGATTAAGATATTATTTACTATCTGTGTCCCGTGGCGTCGCTCGCGTAATTCCTTGCTAATATTGCAAATATGAAAGTGACTTTACGGTTTAGCTAAACAACAATAAATTTTGCACATATATATATATATATATAATACTATATGGAATGAAGAAGGTAATAGGCTACTTTTTATCCCGTTTATTGACTGGGAAGTCAAGCGAACGAAGTCGCGGGTAATAGCTAGCATTAAATACATTAAAATTTAAAATGTGAAATATACATTAGTGTATCTAAACTAGTATCATAAAGGTGAAAGATTTTTTGTTTGTTATAAACAAATGAAAAATACCTAACCGATCTTAAAAACTCTTTCACCTACATAGAAATATCTTTTTACAAATATCTTCCATAGATTCATAGGAAGCTACATTATCAGCCAGTAACATGGGCTGTATTTTTTTTTTTATATAATTTCTTCATTTTATACTATAATAAAATACACTTTAAATGAAACCTTTTTGTATTGACTAATGAAACGCGCTTAAAATTGAAAATAAAAAATAAATCATAGATAGATACATATAGATAGATAGATACTCTTTATTGTTTCCTCCAAAAGATTACAATAGTAAACTTATTATAAATATAAATAATTACAAGAAATCACATTGTCTATACCTCGCCGTAGATTAATTAATACATGACCACTGGAAATACCACAGAGTAATAATAATAAAAGAATGCGCGCCTTTCTTGGTGTGACAACGAAATCGGTCCACGGCGGGTCGTCCGGTCCGATCATTTCACTGACCCACATTTCGGACAAGCAGTGAGCAAGCCAGCTCGCGGTAAACAAACTGCTCTGCCTCAAGTTTAATCAGTGGACAAATGTTTAATTAAATGTTACTTGGAAACGAGATAAAAGGGACACGATAACTTGACATTTTAATGGTTTTCCGAGGTGTATTTAATAGGATGATCTTATGTTTTAACAAGCTTTACCCGTTTTAAGGAAGCTTTGCATTTCATTGTAATAAATATGTTGGGGCTGAATAGTGACATACATTTTATTGATGTTATTTATATTGTTTTCTTTTTTTGTAATGTACGTTATTTAAATCAATTTATTAATCATAATATATCAATTCAAATATTAACACAATTTTTTTTTAAATCATATCATTAAAAAGTAATCTTTGTCCTTCAGAATAAAAATTAAGAAACCAAATAGCGCATTAAGTGTTTAAAATCATAGTAGGTAAGTATTTAAACTATTTAAAAAAAAATAAAAAAACATTCTAACACGTCTATGTAATCATAAATATTGCCAATCAATTATAATTAATTTTAAAATTGACTACTGGCAATCATCAATATTTAGTAAATAAAATTCATTCATTCTGTCATTCATAACGAAATAATTAATCATTTCTTATTTAATTTTATTTAATTGAAGCTCACAGAGACATGTTTTACTCTACTAAAGACAAGTAGATGATTATGTACAAAGTAATACATAGTGTTTACTTTATAGACGAGTCCTTAACATAATATAAGTATTTATAAAGTATTTATAAACAAGTCGCTTTTATTTCTTGCGTACTCAGTAGGAAGAGCAACAACCTATGATTGCAGGGCCGTTATCCCGGTCGACTCGCTTCAACTATGGAAAAAACGTCTTTCAACAAATCCACTGGTCTTTTTTTTTTAATAATCCACTCGTTTGCAATATTTTTTTTAACGTTTCAAAATAACAGTCGTTTATCGATCATGTTTAAGGAAAATAACTTCAATAACGTAAAGTACGTTAGTCAAAATAATTTATTAAACATATTTTTATACACTGTTTCAATAGAATTTAATGAAAATGTAAAATAAGCATGAATTATTTAAGACAGCCTAGTGATGTCCAGTAGTAGTTAGTTCATATTAAAAATCGATGAATCGCTTGAATGTTTCGATTCGTTACTAATATCATTTAGAGAGTATTTTTGTAATAATTTTAATAAAACTACGTTATCTTTTCATTAAGTTCTTTTGAAATAGATTATAGTAATTTTAACGATGGAAAAATATAGACTAGAGGTAAGCTTATTAGTATTTTACACGGAGAGTTACATTTTAAATAGCGCCAAATTTATGGCGCCCGCCAAAATAATAATAAGGGTCATTACACACAACGGTGTATTGAAATCAATTTTATATTCACCTGTTTAACGGGCACCAAGACGACTCACAATCACAGCGAACTCATTATCCACTGGCACTGAGGATTTAACAGTTATTCGTACTAAAAGTCTATGATTAACAGCCTTAGATAACGAATTACAAAAAGTGTACTTTACGATGGCTTTATTTTTTTTTTTTAATTACTATTCATTGTCTGTGGCCTGTTTTTGACGTGGCGGGAGTGCGCGTTTTTTATTACTTTTTTTTTTTTATTTTAATAAGGCGCGGTCGTCTGCCGCGGAGCCTTGACCGCTACGCGACTGCGGCCTTACTGAGCGAAGTATCTTGGTAGGTGCAAGCGAGCTCGGCAAGCAATGTAAATTACTTTCCAACAGTTACTTTTCGCTTCGCTGCACTGATTCCGGTCGGCTTTGTTTTTTTCTGCAGCTTTGGCATGCAGAAGGAAAGCTTCAGATAACTTATCGATAAGCCGAACAAGAGTTGGGCCGTAACTTTTTTATTGACTTGTGCAACTGACCTAAAACCTAAATACCTAGTATTAGTTATTATTTACAATCATTCTGATCCTTATTGACCCCTAGTCTCTTGAAGGAATTGTCGTTAATGAGATGTAGTGGGCCCATTATTAGCAGTATGTGCCATATTTTTTTAATCGACATAAAAAAGAAGGTTCTTAATTCGATTGTATTTTTTTTTTATGTTTGTTACCTCATAACTTCGTCAATTCTAAACCAATTTGGAAAATTCTTTGTTTATCTGAAAGGATATACTTACAGATCGGTCTCATAGGGATTATATCAAAATCGATTAAGTACCTAGTTTAGTTTTTAAATTAAATGAACTGGTTTTGCCACAATTGAAGTCATCTTTTCGTGGGACACAATTTTTATTTATTGATAAGATTTTTTTCAAAAAACCAAGCCGTTAACGGTTTGCTCTGAAGCTTACTAATTAATTAATTTGTGAGTTTAACAAATAGATCTATAGTAGGTACAAATTAGAATTCAACGTTAGAGGTATTCAGGCTGACCTCCTCGCGGTCCTCCTAGAATATGAACTCTGGTGGTTAATTCCTGCTGAATTAATCATGATAGACTAACTGGCTATCATAATTCTCTAGTAAACCGCCAGCATATACCGACAGCGCAGGCGAGGTACTATTTCATCCCACCAAAAATCATCAATCTACGCAAACACAAGCGTCGTCCCATTTCAGCGTCATTCGTATCTCGTCTAAGAAGTTTTTTGCCCAAGTTCTCTTTATTTACCTGAGAAATATACATGCACACAGTTGCTTGGTAGAGACCACTATTTAGCGATAAGGCCGCCCATTATTGCCTCTTTATTTTGCTTTTATTTAATTAAGTTTACCAGAGGGAGACTTTGTACAAAAGTCGTTTGCTTGGCCACCTCTGTACCATTCATGTTACAACCGTAAAGCAGTTGTGTTTGCATGGCTGTGTTTCAGTTTGAAGGGTAGGATATGGCATAAATTTACAGGGTAGGAATAACACCTGACTCCTCAGGAATGGCAACGCATAGGGAGTATCATGGGTGAAACAGTATACTCTGTTATGTCCATGGTAATGCTCATGTCTATAGGTGACAGTTACCACTTTCCATCAGGTGGGCTGAAAGCTTGTTTAGCATTCTAAGTTGTATAAAAAAAAATTATTATATATTTTTTTGTGTACATATTGTTAATTTTTATAATCTATATCATTCTTTAAAGGAAACAAAAGAGTTTTCATTAATTCATCCATTCATACGCCTGTCTCTCCGTCCACCTTCAAGTAACAATATACTCTGGCAAGTTCTCCGCTTGGTTCCTCTTGTAAACTGCCCATCAGTCTCATCCCATTAAAAAATATGAATTTTCTCTCAGGGTCCTCTCTTCTCTGCTCTTCTGCTTCCTTCTTCTATAATACCGTCTCATTTGGGGCTTATTAGATTAAACGTTCTGGGGTACCAGGAGTATTCATTCCATCACTTGATGTTACGGTTTTTGTTTGGGATGTAGTAATAAATAAGATGTATAAATGATATTTTTTAAAATGCCCACCAGATGGCGGATTAGGTACATTAAAAAAACTTGTTTTTAAGAATGTTTTGAAAGAGACCAGTTGTCAAATGAATTTATTATTTCTTTGGTACGAAACTGGGCCATGGTGCTGTTCATGGCTATAAGCGACGGTCACTGTTTACCAGCAGGTGGGCGGACAGTTTATTTACCATACCATGACTTCAATCATGTGACTATGACAGATAGATTGACCGGGATAATATTTGAAGATTGTGTCCCACAAAAAAATCGACTTCATTTGTGACAAAACCATTTATTTTACTTTAAAAATTAAACCACTGAACCGATTTTGATAAAATTTTTACGGGAATAATCTACAAGCATATCTTTTAGGATAAAAAAATAATTGTCTAAATCGGTTCAGAACTAATGGAGTTATGAGGTAACAAACATTAAAAAATTACAACCCAATCGAGAATCTCTTTTTTGAGGTAGGTTAAAAAGTAGTCTTCTCCAGACCAAATAGTAGAGATGGGAAACATCCGATATGTCTTTTTTTTTGATGGGTGAAAATAGTATGGCAACCCCGCCTGCGCTAACGGGATACGCTGGCGGAGCACCAGTGAAGGGTGATAGATGAGAATGAAAGCAGGCCAATTAGCCCATCATGATGAATTCATCAGGAATTAATTATGATAGTTTCCAGGGAGAACCGCGAGGAGGTCAACATGGTTGGATATATTGCTAGCAATGGGATTCTCAGTCTCCATTACTAACAATCCCTTTCCCCCCGATATCTCTATATTAATTTCTTCTGGACCTTGACGATCACCCATTACGACATTGCCCATTCTAGTCAGATATCTATACTCATTACGAGCGAGTTCTTTTCCATATTATATATTGGATAACCGTTAGTTAATATATCTGTTATTTGAGGTCGAGGTAAGCTCCACTGACAAGAGCGCAACTCTTAAATAGATAGATAGATATAGTAATATATATTTATATTTATTTATTTATTTATTTAACTCTTTATTGCATCATAAATAAAAATATACAATGACAAGTGAATAATTCAAATTAAATACAGTAACATAAATACAGATTGAAATATACACATAAAGGTACAAAAGGCGGTCTTATCGCTAGGGCAATCTCTTATATATATATTACTATATCTTATACTATATTTATATTATATATATAGGTATCTATTACGTGTGCCTTTCATGATGGTTGCTTGAAACATTAAATTCAAATTCAATTCCATTTAATGCCAGACAACAAGAGATATTGTATTTAGACTTTGACTTAATACTGATAATTAAAAGTAAAAGAGGTTAATGTAATAAACCATTTACCTGAGAGGCATCCGTTCAGGACGGCAACAAACCAGGGCATGGTTATTTTGTGTCTATGTGGAATGGGCGGCCTTATGGCTAAGACAGGAGTAGTTATGGGAGGCACAATGAAAATTTTAATGCAATTTGCAATAATGTAAATGTATATTTCTATTTTCTATTAAATATACTCACTTACACATATACATAAAACATACAATTAAAAATATATGATTTTTATTTGCAATTTTTTTTATGCGATTTAGGCAACCCATGGGGGAGTATCATGGGCGAAACAGTATACTCTGCTATGTCCATGCTACTGCTCATATCTTTAGGCGACGGTTACCACTTTCCATCAGGTGGGCCGTCAGCTTGTTTGCTATTCTAAGTTGTATAAAAAAAAATTAACAATCCTTTCCTCTTCATCGTGATGAAGATGGGGGCAAAGGTGATAGCGTATTTACCGTTCCAAATACAATAAAAAAATAAGAAAACTTTTGCTTAAGTGTGGGTCAACACAATACTCGTAAGTGAGTCAGCCGCAGAAAATCGACACATTGACTACAGAGTTGCAGTTAAGACGTGTGAGTAATCACTTAAAGTTTTTGTTTTTAGGGTTCCGTCCCCTAAATATGAAAGGAAACCAGTGACGTACTATACCATTTGGAGCCTGTGGCAAATTCTTTTGATGGGGCCCTATCAGTAAAAAAAATACTTTTCTAGTAAAATAAAATACTCAGGTACAATGTAAAAAAAATATTTCTGAGCTCGCGGCCTCTTTAGCCGGGGCCCTTTTGGGTCGGGGGCCCGTGGCATTTTGCCAGCCCTGCCACCCTATTGTTACGCCACTGAAGGAAACTCTTATGAGTTTATCCGTCGGTCCGTTCCGCTGTTACAGTGTCGTATTTCATTAATAAATACATATTTTTTAAATAAATAATAAATATATAATTATTTTGATTCAGTTTTATAACTTGTTTCATACAGACCAGAAAGAGACTTTGTACAACGTTTTGCTTGGGCACCTCTGTCCCATTCATGTTTCTACCGTGAAGCAGTTGTATTTGCATGGCTGTGTTTCGGTTTGAAGGGTGGGAATTTACAGGGTATAGAGGAATAAAATCTGAGTCCTCAGGCATGACAACGCAAGGGGATATTATGGGCGAAATAGTATACTCTATTATGCTCATGGTACTGCTCATGTCTATAGACGACGGTTACCACTTTCTATCAGGTGAGCCGTCAGCTTGTTTGCCATTCTAAGTTGCATAAAAAAATACATTTATACCAAACGTTCCGCCAAATGTTAGCTGACGTTTCGATTTTCTTATACGACATGATAGTCAGACAGAAGAAGAAAGAAGGATAGTATCTATCTACGTAGCTTCATCATCAGCGACACGCCAATCACTGCTGAATACAGGTTTCTCCCTATTGAGGTATTTTACCAGTAGTTTTTTTATGGATGTTAATGGAATGGTAACCCCGGCTGCGCTAACCGTACACTCTGGCGGGGCACCAGTGAGCGTTTATAGTTGAGAATGAAAAGGCAGGTCCATCATGATGAATAGACCTGGGATCCCGCACGATCCTTTCCAGGGGTACCACGTGGAGGTCGTCTTGACAGGGTATATTGCAAGAAAAGAAAGATTAATCCATAATACTATAATATTGTAATTTTAGAGATAAGTTTAAAGAATAGCGAAGAATTTGTATTGATTTTAACTTGATATCATCATCATCATTCCAGCCATTATTCGTCCACTGCTGAACATAAATCTCCCCCCTAAGACTGCCATAAAGAACGGTCCTGAGCCACCTGCATTCGCTGACCCCCTGCAATGCATTTCAGGTCGTCACTCCATCAAGTGGGGGGGGAGGATCGTCCTTCACTGCGTATAAACTTTATATGACTGTTTTTATTTAATACTAGCGTCTCGGCTTCGCACGAGTGGACATTTTTACATTTTAAAAAGCAGTTGTTGTAACATAGCAATAATAGTTGGATATATGGATCATATGGTATCATGAAGTTTTTTGTAGTTATTGATAATTTCTTCAATATTGTAGAAAACACTTTTGTTCTATCACCAATAGTTTCCGCAGCGCACGCGACGAAAGATATTTTGTTACACCACCTTGTGTTACATTACTAATGTTTTAGTAAGGATCCCTAATCTTTTCTAGCAATAAATATAGCCTATGTTATTCAGGGTGAATGTAGCTTTCTAATGGTGAAAGAATTTTTGAAATCGACAAAGTAGTTTTTGAGTTTATTCATTACAAACATACATACACACAAAAATACAAATCTTTCCTCTTTATAATATTAGTGTAGATGTAGACTAGTGTAGACGATTCTATCACAGTTCAACGCGTAGGCCCTAATAAACGTAAGGATTTTATTAGATAAATCATACTTCAAGTTCACCCTGACCTACTTACGTCCACGTTACATCTCATACGTTATCGCTTAATGGAATCAGTCGATAGTTTTGTATTGGACATCTTGATTTTTAAGTAATCAGTAATTATTATGTAATCCATGTAGCTAGTGTTGTTACTACTGCATTAGAGTTCACCATAATCTTACTTACATGAGTCATATTTAAGAAAAAAATATATGAGGGATCCTAATAATGGTAACAGAAGTCAAAATAAGAACTTTTAGATATTTTATCTGTCTGTATGTTTGTATCAGCATCACGCAAATACGACAGCACTAAATTAGATGCGGTATATGTATAACATAGCCCCACCTATGTTATTTTTTTTTTTATCCATTAAAGATACCCCATAAACCTACCCCACTACATAGGGCGAAAAGAGAATGATGGAAAGTGATAACCGTTGCCTATAGACATGAGCAGTACCATGGACATAACAGAGTATACTGTTTCACCCATGATACCCCCAATGCGTTGCCATTCCTGAGGACTCAGGTGTTATTCCTCTGTACCCTGTAAATTCACGCCATATCCCACCCTTCAAACCGAAACACAGCCATGCAAACACAACTGCTTTACGGTTGAAACACGAATGGGACAGAGGTACCCAAGCAAACGACTTTTGTGAAGTTTCCCTCTGGTAAAATAATAATAAATAAGATTGTTAGTATGTAGTGAGGACTAATAGCTTTATTACTTGTGGGATGTATTACAGTCATTATAAGGTTATCTTTACAATCATTGCATTTAATGAGGCAATGCAATCAGCTGCATTATAATCATGATCAGGTCGACCTCCACGTAGAAATCATTCTTCTTAAATTTACAGAGCACAAAGACAACATTTTAGCCTTCAGGAATGATAACGCATGGATTTTATGGACGAAACAATGTTATATAATACTCTGTTATGTCCATTATACTGTTCATGTCTATAGGCGAAGTTTACCACTCTTAATCAGATCTGACTAAATCACAGACTTTTTTTTTTAATTTATTAAGACATCAACCTCCAAAGTTACAAATATCGAGATAATTAAATACTAATAACCAGGTACAATAGGGGGGGGGGAAGGAATTGTTAACAGTGAAGTTTGACAGCGCCATTGCTAGCAATATGCCCTATTAGGTCGACCTCCACGTGGTTCCCCCTGGAAACCATCGTGAACAATTCTTGTTGAATTCGTCACGATGGTCTAACTGACCTAGTTCATCCTCACCTATCATCCCTCACTGGTGCCCCACCGGTGTATACCGATAGCGCGGATGGGGTTACCATTCCATTATCATCCATTAAAAAAAAAAAACAACAATTATAAAGATACGGCAAAAACCCACAAACTACAATATCAAATTTGATATTGTAGTTTTATTATTTGATGAGAGTAATAAAAAACATTTGCAATTTTTAATTTCTCCGACAGTGGAATGTAATTATAAATCGCTTTATTCATTACTATAAAATTTTTGAGTAGACTGTTGAAAACCATAGACTGAAATGATGATGATATTATTAGTCCATACAATGGAGTTATGGAGAAATTAAAACCATAGACTTACTATAACGTATTTATACTTTATAAACTATGAACCAGAATGCTTTTGTCCATGTCAATCAAGCTGTCTAATCCATATGTCATAAAATGTCATTCAATACTGCTGTCATATCACGTCAATCTCTTGTATAAGAGAAAAGAAACAAAACAAGGAAATGGTTAGAAAATAGAATAAAAAATTGATTGTGCTATTTTTATAAAAGAATAAGAGCATGTGAAATTTTCTATAATAATAAATAAGTTATTGTCTTTAATTGATGTCGTTTAATATAATTGTTTTATTTTTCTATTAGGACATGTTAACCTCCAAAGTCCATGCTTGATTTACAATAAATGTGAAGAAAAAATAAACATGGTGAAAAATATAAGGTAACTTTTATTAGATATCTATCAGCCTTTATGTTAAATTCCTTGGCTGTGTTGCGTTGTAGTTTTTTTATGTTCTAATTTTAAATTTCTTTATTTTTTTATAATTAAGAAAACTAAACTTTCTGTTTGACTATTCCACCAGATGTTTGAAATTGGTAATCGTCTTAGCACATTAACAGAATCATAGAAATCACAGGATACACTGTGACACCTATGATACCACTGATTTGTTGCCCATCCTTAGGACTAAGGTGCTGCCGTACCCTGTTATTTCACTGCCATGTTTTACTTTTCAATTCGGTATGTAACCATACAAGCATAGCTGCTTTGCAATACAAACATGACAGATAGAGTTACCTTTATTATGTTGTTCAACAAGAGCTACCTTTGTCTGAGTAGGATAACCTCCTACTAGATAAAGTGTCAACCTCAAACACATTGTAAGAAGTCAGTGGATGCAGGTGGCTCAGGACCATTCCTTATGGCAGTCTATGGAGGAAGCCTATGTTCAACAGTGAATAGATAATGGCTGATATGATATTGATAATACCATTGTATACTGTTATATCTTGTCTCCATCTGTTTTTATAAATCATATTTTTGTTAAATTCACTTTATGAAATTACATATTTCCAGTGCAGAAAAATTGAAAACTGTTAATTCAGTGCCAAAAATATTAAAAAAACATAAACATAAGAAGAAGACAAAAATATCAATATCTGAATTGGGCAATGTCGAGAAGGAAAGTCAGGAAATGTCTGTAGAGAAGACTAAACAGCATGCCGGTATGCATAGCTTTCTATATCTCTTAACCAATATCGAAAAAGAAAGTGTTGATTTCAATTATATTTTTGTGTTTCTTACATTGTACCTCTGATAGCGATAAACTGGTTTTAAAACATTTTTTTTTTATACTACTTAGAATGGCAAACAAGCTGACGGCCCACCTGATGGAAAGTGGTAACCGTTGCCTATAGACATGAGCAGTGCCATGGACATAACAGAGTATACTGTTTCGCCCACGATACCCCCCATGCGTTGTCATTCCTGAGGACTCAGGTGTTATTCCTCTGTACCCAGTAAATTCACGCCATATCCCACCCTTCAAACCGAAACACAGCCATGCAAACACAACTGCTTCACGGTTGAAACACGAATGAAAATTTTATTTAAATAGACTTATAGAAAAGTATATGTTAAATCATATTTTTTTATTTATGTAAAGTTGCATAAGAGTTAGATGAGAAACTATTAAGAAATTGAACAGTTACATCTCTTAATACTCTGTGTATTTATTTGAGTGTATAGTGAGGTTTTTTTTAGTTTTATTAAAATATTTTGCATTCTTTTATCTTTTTTCCCTGTGAATATCTATCTATGTCTGTTTGTGTGCTGTAAGTAATGCAAATAAATTATGTATCCATTTTATTATTTGAAATATTTATATATATATAACCTAAAATTGTGTTTAAGTTTGTTTGTAATACTTATTTTATTTAGTTTATTTGTAATATCTTAAATTATAGGATAAAGAGTTCTTAAGAAAAGCTCGGTTCAGTATTTTGGTTTTTAAATCAAAACTCATTATGTCACAATTTGAGTAATTTTTTTGTAGAACATAATCTTAATTATCTAAATAATGTTAACTTTTTTTTTAATATTTATAGCTGTGCAAAAAACGGCTGTGTCCAAGACGATGCTCGAAGGTATGAGTGAAGAGGAAATAGGAAACAAGTATCCAATACTGACTGATATGGAACTTGTTCAAAGGTTTCTTAGTGTACCAATGAATAATAATCAGAAAGGTGAGTCATCATAAATGGCACAGCTTCCAACTGAGCAGGGAGGTCAAGTAGCACACTAAGGCTCCAAGTTTCAAATAGATGCTTGAAGCCACTTAGCAGTAGTTTATATAACTAATGACTGGCTGATACCTTACGAGGTTTTTGAGTATGGTACATAATTGTACTGAGTATCAAATAAGTATATTGTACAAATAATATCATCAGGTATAATGAAATACAGCTTGTCAGTCATATGACAGGCCAGATCGTGTTATATTTGTCTCATTATCAACCAACTTCAAAAAAAGGAGGTTCTCAATTTGGTTGCATTTTTCTAATGTTTGTTACCTTATAACTCCATAAGTTGTAAATTGATTTGGAGTTATGTGAAAGGATATATTTACAGATTAGTCCTATGGGAATTTTATCAAAATCGATTCAGCAGTTTAAGAATTATATTAAAATAACTGGTCACAATGGAAGCCAGTTTATTTTTGTGGCACACAATCTTAAATTTTTTTTTTTCTATTATATATTTTTTATTTTTTATTTAAAAATTACACAAATATTGAATTACTATATGTGTAATAAATACTAATTTAAATTTATATAAATTTTTCAGGCAGAGTTCGTCAAGTTTTAAGGGACAAATTGAAAGACACATCAGACTCTTTATTACCTGATGTAATCTACGACAAAATACAGCTCATACTCAAAAGTTCCGAGAACTTGACCGACACTGATTTGAGAAAAATTAGAATATTGTACAATATGCTTAAAACTGCAGTACAAAATCATAAGAAAGAGGAAAAAGTTAAAAAAGTTGACAAAGTTATAGTTGAAAAGAAACTGTTGAAGGATGAGAAAGACAGTGAAAAGTTGGACACGAGCAAAGAGAAAAAGCAACAGTTGGTGAAGAAAGTTAAAGGAAAGAAAAGATATGTCGTGTTCTTAGGCAATTTACCATTGGATATCGACAAGGAAAAGGTATGAAAATACACTTTATTTATATTATGTTAAAATTTAAAATTGTTCAAATTTGATGGTGCTTATTATTTGTAATTTTTTTTTTTTTTTTACTATAAATATATTTAAAAGATCTGAATCTAAAAGAACTTTTGAGTTTTTGAATTCTAAGTCAAATTAAAATCGTCTTTATTCAGTTAGACTTGTTTAAAAACACTTTTAAATTGCATTTTTTTTTTTTTATATATATACAGGGTTTTGGAAAGTTCTCACCTGTTAAGAAAAGACCGCTAGAAACTCAACAGTTACTCTTTTAAGTCTCTGTTAACATTATATATATTTATTTATATGTACATGTACAACTAACACCATACATATTTGTCATTCAAGTAATCATTAAATGAGTTTATTGGGTTTTGCTTAATAAGTGTTTTTTAATAAAAGTTTTAAAAGGTAGATCCAAAATATCATTCGGTATTTTATATTATAACATTTAATGCCCATTCCCATACGATTGCGTGCTTGTCGATTACTATCGGCACCGCCGGTTCGCACCTGTACTGCTCAGTTTGCTCTCACTTATCAGGCTATTTCTTTGCTCATTTCTCTGATCGCTCAGCAGCCAGATATTGATATATTTAATGACACAATGGATATATTTTTAAAATGTTGTTAAAAAATTTTAAGTTTGTAAAATAAACCTATGGCTCACTACACGTTTTGGGAGACCGTAAGTGTGGTGAGTAATTTATAAATAAATAAGACCTATTAACTTTTTCAAAACGTTACTTCGTAACAGCAAGTTTGTATTTGTATCTAGTGTTGAAATTATTGAGATCGCTGTTTTTGAAAAACAGTTGAAGATTCCTGCATACATACAATATATTTGTGTATATGTATTGTAAAGTTATGGTGAGAATAATCTAATATACTTGTGTGTGAATGTAAATGTGAATAGGACTCCATTTTCCGCGCTTAGCCTCTAATTTGGACCGTTGTGCGTATGAGTCGTGGCTAGTACAGCCAACCTAGCTCCGCCAATCTAATATACTTATAATATTTTATTTTTATAGATAATGAAACATTTCTCCGAAGTGAGTGATCATATTGTAGACGTCCGTATCCCGAAACTTGCCGAAGGAAAGAAAAGCGCCATTGCTTACGTTGAATTAAAGAATGAACCCACTTATGAGGTTAGTTGGTTATAACAAACGACTTTGCGCAAATTCTGCATAATTGAATATGGAAAAATATTTTTTAAAACTGTTATTGTTATGTTTCCTTTTTTGTTATGTCAGATACTTTTTTCATAGTAATCATATTTACTAGAGGGAGATTTTGTACAAAAGTGTGTGTGCTTGGGCACCTCTGTCACATTCGTGTTTCTACCGTGAAGCAGTTCATAGTAATTGTTAAGCCATAACCGCTCATTTACTGTCATAGGTTAAGTAAATTTATAACTAACAAAATGGGCCTTATGTTGTCTATATAATTAAATATAAGACGTTAAGATGCGTTAAGCCATCAAACATTAAGAGATAACAAACAAACACACTTTCACATTTGTAATATTAGTTAACGATTGCTTGCTTAAGGAATCGAAACCAATGGAGAAATATGAAGGAGGCCTATGTTCTAGAACAACCTGAAAAATAAGATGTTGCTGATGTCAACATTAATTATTTATACATATTTACAATTGAAAAAGGATTTTTAATTCAGGAATAAAGGCTATTTTTATTTTATTTTTTATTTATAATATTAGTTAAGAATGGTGTTTGGTATTTTAGTTGGCGTTATCAAAACATCACTCAATGCTGGGCACCAAGAGGATCAACGTACTGTATACCGCGCAGAAGAACGGGAAAATCACTAAGGCCGAAGCCAAGGTAATTATTTTTTTCTATAATAGCATATGTGACCACACCATCCTGGGATGTCCAAATAGGAACAATATAGTCCGCAAACCACGCATAAGTAGTTGATTAACCCTTATATACCTGAAGTTTCAAATTTGATACCGGGGTTATAAATCGCATTGGGCGCCTACAATCGATTTTAATATTTGGCTGTTTACATGTTACTAAGTTTTTTTTTTTTTTCAAAATAAATATATAAAAATATCGTTTTGATATTTTTACTATTTTTCCCCATTAGTAAACACAGTAAAGGGTACACGTGTATATTTTTTAATTTGATTAAAAAAAAAAAATCAGGCTTTTAAGGGTTAAAAGCTTAATATGTTAAATATATAAAGGCGCTTGTTTCTGTTTCCAGAGCAAGTCTGCTAAGTTATTGGCGCTACAGAAGTCAGGAAAATTGATTGGCAGTATGCCTCTAAACAGGAAACGAAGCCATCGACGTACGAAGATGAAGCAGGCGAGAGCAAAGGAAATGCAGAATCAATGATGAAATTTTTAATAAAAAGTATTTTACAATATCTTGTAGTTTAATTCTAAACGGAGGCCTAAAATATATATTTCAGATTTATAATACAATAGGCGTATTTAAACAGGGAGTCAGTGGATGCAGGTGGCTCAGGACAGTTCTTTATCTATGGAGGATGCCAATATTCAGTAATGGGTGAGATGATGGTGATGAGGTGTATTGAAGACTCCAGATGGGCCGTTCTGACCTCAGAATTGATTAGATTTTTTTTTAATAAGAATGGAACGATAACCCCGACTATGCTGGCAGGGTACCAATAAGGGACGATAGGTTAAGGTGAAAGCCAATCAGCCTATCGTGACGAATTTCATAGAAATGAACCATGATAGTGTAAGTGTGGCAACTATTGGCAAAACCCTCCCTTATGGGGGAGGCCTATGTCCAGCGGTGAACAGGTAATGGCTGATATAATAACAATAAATTGAGCTATTAAACCCCATTACTAACAGTCCTTACTCACCCCCCCCCCCCCCCTTCCTTTCCAGAAGTCTGGTACCCTACCCAGATACAAGTGTAGCTTCTAACTATGCCCAAAGACATGTCTGAAAGTACAACATGTGCCTTTTTTACTGACTACTTTTTAACCCGATCACACAGTCACGGTTTGTTTAACCCTTAAATACCTGAAGTTTCAAATTCGATACCGGGATTTGCATTGTTTTATTGTTAAATAAATTTAAATATTTTGAATACCGTAATGCCTAAAGTATCAAAAATTATACCTAATATTTTATTTCAAAATAAATATATAAAAATATCGTTTTGATATTTTTACTATTTTTCCCCATCAGTAAACACAGTAAAGGGTACACTTATATATTTTTTAATTTGATTTAAAAAATCAGACTATTAAGGGTTAAAACAAAGGTAGAGCTATTTAAAAATAAAACAAGATGGAAGTGCTTCAAAAAATTATTTATTTATTCGTATATATAATTTATATATCCATTTTATAGTTAAAATCAACCGTTGCACACAACATAAACATCTTAATATAGTACTGTCGCATTCTTGCGTCGCGGACGAATCGAACAGTATCCAATTATGTATACAAACATCGACCTTATACACTGGCAGTAAGGTTCACGCTCACTTGGCCGACATGTGTCAATTAAAATAACTAACCAAGCAATAATTTAATAAAAAAAAAAAAAATACAAAATATGGACGCGGGATGTGAGTACAGAGCTTATTTAAAATTAATACTTTCGTTAAAAAATACTTCGTAATGTAATAAGTTTTTTTTTATACTTTTGTGGCGTTCTAGTTGTAAAATCACATTTCAAATGAAACATACTTATTAGCAAAATCTCTAATAAAAAAAAAATCGGAACAAATATATTGACTAAATAGTTCACTATTAAAAAAAAAAAAAATATTTTTTCTTAAAATATAAAAAAAATTAAGTTCCATTAAAAGTAGGTATGCGTATTCGACTAATATTTATTATGTTCACATTAAAATTATTTGTCAACATAAGTACACAGTAATATGTCGCCAATTTATTAGAGAATAAATAAAAAATATAATAAATAATATATGAAAACAGCTAAAAAAAGACTCGTACATTTTATACAAACTAACTAGAAGAATATGTAAAAACACTGCAAGCAAAATTAAAATGTATTTTAAAAATAATATAATATACAAATTTGATATAGTTAGAACATTCTACCAAGCATGGCAACGACTGGCAACATCTCCCAAAGGTAAACTGCCCCAAGGAACGGCTCCGTTCTTTATGGCAGTCTATGGGGGAGGCCTAGGTTCAGCAGTGGACAGACATAATAAGATGATAAGACAATGATGATGATTATTTTTGTTAAAATGAATGTTGTTTAAAAATTTTAAGTTTGTAAAATAAACCCATGGCTCACTACACGTTTTGGGATACTGTAAGTGCGGTGAGTAATTTATAAATAAATTAAAACTTTGGGCGACATAGCTCAATATCAAATAATGTATTTTTTCATATTTTACAAATAAAACTCCGTCAGTAATCTGATATTAAACAACATATTGCTACACTTCTAACATCACTGTCCGTATAGACTTTTGAATGCAGTGTTTTTTACAACAATTAAAAACATAAAATTGCTCGTATGGAATAATTTGTGCCGAAGTATATAGACCTTTCACATATCAGAGTTACTGTGTAAATATTTAAAAAGAAAAAGAATTGTCAATATTAAATCAATACAGTTAATATTTATTTAATATTAACATTTATTTGTTGAACAAATGTTGCAACATTTGCAAATGTTGTTCTGCCATATAATTATTACTTTTCATTCGTACCACCAGATTCGTATTCGTATTACCAGAGGGAGACTTTGTACAAAAGTCGATTGCTTGGGTACCTCTGTCCCATTCGTGTTTCAACCGTGAAGCAGTTGTGTTTGCATGGCTGTGTTTCGGTTTGAAAGGTGGGATGTTGTGTGAATTTACTGGGTACAGAGGAATAACAGTATACTCTGTTATGTCCATGGCACTGCTCATGTCCATAGGCGACGGTTACCACTTTCCATCAGGTGGACCGTCAGTTTGTTTGCCATTCTAAGTTGTATAAAAAAAAAGTACTAAGGTATTAGTCATCTCTTAAATTTTAAAACCATTGTTTATAACATTATCCATAATTATAAGGTATTGAATACAGAATACCGTTTCCAATTTTAAATATAATTTTTGATGACATAAAAATAAAATGCTTTAAATTGTATTATTTAAAGCGCTAATATTTTCAACCGACTTCAAAAGGAAGAGGGTTCTCAAATCGGATGTATTTTTTTGTTTGTTACTTCATAACTTCAACAGTTCTAAACCGAATTAATTTATTCATCAACAAACATAAAAAAAATATAACCGAATTGAAAAGCTTCTTCTTTTTGAAGTCTATTGCAAATCGACATATCATCTTCATCCATTCATCATTGTTTTAACCTTTCTTTGCATAATGGTGGAAATTTCCATCATAACATTGAATGCCCAAAAATTATACAAAAGAACAAGTTGACTTTAAGTTGATCGTGTTTGGATACCTTTTAAATGTCCATTGTCAAATTTATTTCTTCAACCATTTTTTTCTTTAATTTTGAACATGAATTATATCACCTTGATTTATTTCACCAATAAAAAAAAAATCACGCAAAGGACAGTTACTTTGCAATAGATAGGATTTACTTATATTTCAAACGTTGAAGGGCATATTTAATGACACATAATCCACTTGAAAACTAATACAGCACTCTGATATGTGTAAGAAATCCAAAACAATAACAAACATTCATTCAATCACTCAATTTACAATTTTTCAATGTAGGCAGACTAACTGATATCTTATATATGACTTTTACTAATAAAAATATATAGATACATAACGATATATAGGTAATGCAAAAGTGCATCGAAGTCGATACTGAAGCGATATTTTCAAAAACTAAAATATTATTCAAATACCAGTTTCAAAAATAAATATCAAATTAAATTTTAAAGTTTTAGTTTATCTACCAGAATCGACCACGAGGTTTTACAAATTATTCGGCACTTTGCTTGTGACACCTTTGCCTTTCCGTTTGTTAAAAAATTCTAAATAATCACAATAATTCTATATATATTTTATTAATAAAAGTCCAATTATATTATGTTATTTAATACAGAATTTACAATGGGCGACGATGAGTGGCTGAAACTATTAATTCATAAACATCTATCTTACTAGTAGTAAATTTATTCACAATGGGAAAAAAAAGAAAATAAGTCATTATAGTCATAGAAAGGAATAAAGCCATACAGCCTTATCTTCCTAGACCTATGACAACTCATGAACTCTTTTATCACATTTCAAATAAAGAATTTAGGTTGAAAGAAAGAGGTACACAATCCAATAGCTAAATTACATTTTTATGAGTATAGTTGATATGAAATGTCGCCCTTATTATTGTAAATTCTCTAAAAAACGTTATACAATAATTAAAATGCATGATCGGAACTACATTTCTCGATATATTTATTGACCTATCAGTCAATGGTATCGATTAAATAAAATATGTATATTTAATGCGTTTAAAAAGCGGGAATATTAGAAAATTTATGTTGGGTCCGTCACAGCCGATCATTGCGATCGAGAAACGTCGAACCGAATACGAAGTTACAGAAACCGGTCACAGTAACTGCCGAGCCGTTACATCTACTTATTCTCTCACTATGCAGCTACGTTATTCGCATCTATAGAGAAACATTTTTTAAATAGACTATTTTTAATTTTTTTTTACACATCCAATACATTTACAAGAAGTCACTCTACTATAACTGGCCACCGAAACAAGTATTCGAAATTCAAAAATTAAATTGAGAACTATTATTTTCGATTGTCAATAAATATAATGAATTTATTAAAAATACTGCTTCGTTGCTACTCGCAAATTATTATAAAAATAATATTCGAAAATGACATTCAATAATTCTACATCGCCTATACTTAAAAATAGATCTTGCTCTAATACTTTTAGAGTCTAAAGTTAATACTATCTATGTACAGTGACCTACACAATTAAATACACTCATCATTAATGTGTGCGTTGCTCACATTTTTCCTTCTTTTTTTTTTATAAAAGTCCGTAATTTATACATGAGATTCGTATTTTTTTACAATTTCATATCCAATATGACCTAAAAGGTCGTAAGTCCATATATTTATGGAATGCTTAGTGTTTTTGTCATCGAGAAATGTGGAATGAATTTTTAAATGGAAATTAATTTATTCTGAACTTGCAATCAGAATTTATATTGTAATAGCAATTATATAAATATAAGTTAACGTATTTATACACATTGCCATATACAAATACATTTCCATTGAAAAATATACTGGCAAACAATAAATTAAATACCTGACTAAAATTAATCGTGTTTGAGGGAAACAAAACATTGACTGTTTGAAAAAAAAATTGAACTTTTTTTTTTATTGTTCTATAATCGGGACCCATTATATATGTATTTCAGTAAGTGTGAACGGGGTGAATCGATCATTTAGCTTGCCAGTGTACATTAAAAAAAAAATATTCAAAAAACATACTATTGGCAAAGCTAAATATTGGAGTAGACTCTGAGGCATCATTCTCTATATTTATGTCTAAAACTAGCGACGCGCCCCGGCTTCGCACGGGTGCAATGCTGATACTAAATAGTAATCATAATGTAATATCTTCGAAAATAATCATTTAATTTACATGTTGTAAATGGTCAATATACTTGATTGGATAAAAATTAATGCTGTATTGCTTAAAATCACTTCGTAAATACGCCATTTTTCCCCTAAAATGTAAAGGATAAGAAATGGTTATTGTGGGTTATCCTTAAGAGATAGACATATACCATTCTGGACTTTTTGTTGACCTTTTTAAGGTGTACAATACTGTAGTACATTATTTTGATTTATCTCGTGGGGTTCAGTTAGTACTTGCAATGTAAGCGCAAAAAAATGTATTTATTTACGACATCACATTAGAAACCTCTAAATTTATTAGTGTTTTTCTCTACAATACTATGCATGTATTATACATATAAACATTACTCTGGAATCACTCTATCTATTGCAAAAAACCGCTTCAAGATTTAAGCATACATAGTGACGACACAGCGACAGCGACTTTGTTTTATACTATGTATTGATGAAAAATCCATTTTGATAATTTAGCGAATCAAATAAGATAGAAAGAATATTTTTTTATACCACAAAGGTGGCACGCAAGCATATAACCCATCTTATGGTAAATGGTCACGTAACCTTTAGTTTGTTATTTGCTTTCAAGAGATTTAATGCTTCAGAATAGACTGCTTTGGATTAAAAAAAAAAAAATGGATCCGAGAACATTTCCAATGGAAATATTTATTTTTCTCCATAAATAAAAGAATTTTTCGTTAGCGTATGGAAAACGACCATTGATTAATAAATCATCAAAAAATCATTAACAAAATTTTTTTTTAAACAAACTGGACATTTTCTGTAAATGTATACAACGACAAAAATTTAAGCTCCCATATTGACAGATGGATACGGCCACTCCGTATGGGAGGTACGAAACTTCTTACTTACTTAAAAGAAGCCGAAAAAATGTCGATTTAACCGTATATTACAGAAATCATCGAAATATAATTATAAACTTCAAATAGTACCTTCAAATTCAATATTTTATATTGTTTTTCAGTTATTATGCGTCGTCGACGACCGGCGTAACCTGGTAGAAACTTCTAGATAACTCAAAAACATTATCATAGTTTACTAAAATGATCGCGTTAATCTATCCTTTTACAAATCATAAACGTGTCATATTAGTATGAGACATTTTCAATACAAGTCTCGACTCTAGAGCATAATAGATTGCTCTATGGTATTTTGACATATGTCAAATTATTGACAGTTGTCCACAGTCCATATTGTAAGATCTTTTGTACAATCACACACAAAAATATTTGGATTTATCATTATTTTCCATAAAACAATTACTAAAACATAATGTATGATCAAAAGAAAATATCAATTAACAAGTTTTACACGCGACTTTGTCCGCAAAATTATCCATCCCTGTCAATCGACATATCCTGGTGATATGTCGATTGACAGGATGAATAATATCCATTCTATATAATAAGTGTAAGTCACAAATAGATTTATTTTCAAATTTATATTATTAGTAAAGGTAATATTTCAATAGGTATTATTGTGCGTGACTGTACACTACTGTATATACTCAAACCGATTTATATATTAAAATATAATAGCAAACTAGTTACTCATAACAACAACTAGTAACTTTACATATCCATTCTCAATCAGTCTCATTAAGTCAAAAGTTTACTTTCAAATATTTCAATTCTCCAATAGGAATGGGTAATATATTACTTATTAATTATTAATTACATACATATTATTAATTACAATATCTATATATTGTCTCAATATATATCGACTATATATTTATTAGATGCACAAAATAGCTTCACAACAAAACGTTTATAAGCATTAATACAAATTGTATGTAATATGTAACTGAAATAAATCAACCGATTAAAATTAATATACATCAGACATCTGTGTTGATATCGTATGAATAGATATCAGAGCGGTACTGATATTACCCATACCTATTTTCCAATATGGCCAATAATTATAAATCACTAAGATCGACAGTCATTTATAATTCCGACAATTATAATAATTGAAACAACACGACTTCTACAGTCCTTGGACTGTATTTTTATGTTACCATACGGTCTGATTGCAATCAGTATGTTGACCTAATTTTATTATAAACTTTCACTCAAATCGCCATCAGAGTATTAACAGTCAATCGATTGTATTAATAAAATATCACTCAAGTCGACAGTCGTCAAATCAGTGCGTTGATCCATTGTTTATTATTATAAACTTTCACTCAAAACGACAGTACACAGTGTACTGACCAGCTGTCCATATTGTGTTTATTATAAACTTCACTAAATATGACAATCAATGTCTGAACAGTGCAACAAGCCACTGTAATAATTACATAACACGAGACGGACAGTAGTCAGTATGTTAACTATCATTTATTGTAAAGTCTCACTCGTATTTACTGTCGTTAATGCATTACCAACGTATCAGTCGACTGTACTTTCTATATCACACGGGCCGACAGTCAATGCTAACTCAGTCTTTTATTATAAACTTTCACTCAAACTGACAGCAGTCATTGCATTAACCAGTTGTTTTTACTATAACTGCACACTCAATCCAACAGTAGCCAGTGCTGACTCGCTGCCTTTTTCTATAAAGTGTCAATCAAACCGACAGCAATCATTACATTGACCAGTAATTTTTATTATAATTGCACACTTAATCCGACAGTAGCCAGTGCTGACTAGCTGACTTTTATTATAAACTTTCGCTCACACCGACAGCAATCAATACATTGGCTAACAATTTTTATTATAATTGCAACTCAATTCAACAGTGGTCAGTGCTTACTTTTATTATAAACTTTCACACAAACCGACAGCAATCAATACATTTGCCAGCAATTTTTATTATAACTGCCCTTAAATTCGACAGTAGTCAGTGTTGGCTCGCTGTCTTTTATTATAAACTTTCACTCAGAACGACAGTCGTCAGTGCGTTGACAGTGCAGCAGTCAGGCCTGCGACCACCTGTCTTCGAAGAACTGCCGCATCGAGTGTCCCGCGCGGCCCACGGGGCTGTCGTCATCGTTGAAGACTTCGCAGTTGCTGAACACCAGTCGCACGTCGGACGCGAAGTCTTCTTTGCTCTTATAGCTGTGTGAAAATAAAATTTATATTACGGTAACTGTCTACAATTATACGAGACTAGGGATTCAATCCGGCTTCGCATGGACAGATAGAATTTTTGAAAATAATATAGCCTATGTTACTTATTAATAATGTAATTTTATTTAGATGAAAGTCGATGGCTTGGAACCGATTTCAAGAGCAGCTGTACTGACCTGCTATCCTGCAGTTTCCTCTTGATGGTGGAGAGATCCATGGGGCACTTGATCACCTTCTTGTACTGGGGGAACTGCTTCGTGTTGACCGGTATGAGGAACGGCCACGCGTGCTCGTGGCACTCCATCTCGCACAGCAAGTTCCTATCAAAAAATTGGTTTTACATCAAGATCTATAGGTATACGAAGTCTTGTTTGTAAGAAATTTTTAGAGTAAGATATAACATTAATTATTTTTATTTTATTGCCGTCTGGTCCTGGTATATCCACCCATTTCTTTCCAGTGGGTATCATAAAAGGTGACTCAGGGAATTTAATGTTTGATGAATGGACAGCAACATCCTACTTAAAACCTCACCAAAGCCTAACTGCTCTTGCCAATGCTAAGCATGGCAACTACTAGCCTATACTCCAAAAGCAGACCTATATTCAGCAGTGGACTGTTTACAGCTAATATGATGACGATATGATAAATCAACGATGCACTCACTTGCATATCTGCATATCTTTTTGCAGTTTTTTGGCAGAGGTCTTCTCCTTCTTCGCTCGCGACAGTAGTGGGACATTTTCAGTATCTTGGTCTTCACCTGTGAATATAAAATATTTGAGTTGAATATATTAGCATACAAACCATGGGGGGTATCATGGGCGAAACAGTATACTCTATAATGTCCATGGTACTGCTCATGTCTATAGGCGACGGTTACCACTTTCCATCAGGTGGACCGTCAGCTTGTTTGCCATTCTAAGTTGTATAAAAAAACCAGCTTGAATAGCATTTAAGGAAAATTTTAACAAACCAATTAATACACCTACAATAAGACAGTCTGCTGATATATATAAGTAGTGAATATATAAAAAAAAAAACTAGATTGCATGAACGTTTCTACTAATATGTTTTAAAATGTTCTGTAAAAAAAAAAAAAACTTCTCATGAGCGAAATTACAGGGTATAGAAGTAATAAAAGTATACACAGTAACTAGGCAGCTCGACTTTCCTATGAGATGGACCGTCAGCTTGTTTCATAAAAATAAATCACAGAAAAAAGGTAAACTTTTTTTTTAATTCTATTGAAACCTCCCCATCCAAAGGTAGCCTGGAAGAGATCGCTTTTAGCGATAAAGTCGCACATTGTAACCTCATTTCCTTATGTTAATTAAGTGTGATCATTTTTTGTAATTATTTTTGTATCCATAATAAGTCTACTATTGTAATCTTATGGAGGAAACAATAAAGAGTATCTATCTATATATTTATACATAACCATTAAAAAATGCTGTGATCAGGTGGGCAGTTAGCTTGTTTACAATTCCATGTCACATAAAGAAAAAAAATGCATAAAAGAAGAGAAGTAGGTACAGGTCATACCGTGTACATGGTCGTCGTGGTGTTGCAGCTGCCCATTGCCACCAACGTATAGAAGCGCGCGCCGTTTGTCGGCCGGGCCTTCCTCCGGCGGCGGCTCGCCCGCGGCCACAGCTGAGTGATAACAGGCAATTTAAAATAAATTCTACATATACTATATATTTGAAAAGAGCATATTCCTTTTTAAAAGGCCGGCAGCACACCTGCAATGCCGTAGGTATTGTGGGTGACTATGGGCGGCGGTAGTCGCTTACCATCAGGTGAGCCGCATGCTCGTTTGCCCCGTGTTGTAAAAAAAAAATATACTACCCCAATATAAATAATAGTTACATAAACCACCTATCACATGGATTACTCTAAAAAAATAACCGTTAATAAGACTCTACCTCACATACGTTACTCTCAAGTAATATAATCGTCATATAAACTACATTTCGTAGAAATTACGCAAAACTAGCGACCCGGCCCGGCTTTGGATTATTTTTTGATAACAAAATACATGCCATGTTATTTGTAAGTAACTTTTAAAATCACCTTTGAATACTTTTCAATTTATCCATTACAAACTCAAAACAAAATCCTTCTTAACATTTGACGTTTTTGAAATAGTTTAAAAAAAAAAGGAAGACGTTCTCAAATCTCATAACTCTGTACTTGCGTCTTCGTCTGTCGTAACCTGATTTGGGATATTAATTTGTTGTCTGAAATGCATTGGAATTGGTTCGAATTAATTAGAAATCCGTTCAGCATTGTATTGTATTGTAAAATCTTAATTGTACAAAATTCACATTGTACACTAATAAATGATTTAATATACAATGGCGGACTTATCCCATAAAGGAATCTCTTACAGTCAACCTTTGAGAAGTTGTAAAAAAACTGTAGAATGTACAAGGGTAATAATTCAGTAGTTTAGTTTTTAAATCAAAACAACTGGTTTTACAATGATCGAAGTCTGTGTTTCTTTTTGATGGAAGAAAATCTTAATACCAAATAAGGACGTCAGCCTCTAATTATTATAAACGTGTACAAGTTACCTGGGTGATGATTGAGTCCATTTTCAGGCTCGGCGAGCGACTCGTCGAGCTTGTCCGAGCCGTCGGCCTTTTCGGGCGTACTCAGTACTGCGGGGGGACATTCCTCCGCGGTAGTTGAGGTGGAAGCATGCGACGCCGCCGGACTATGGGCAAATACAGCACTTTTATTTTTATTTTATTTTTTTATACAACTTAGAAAGGCAAACAAGCTGACGGCCCACCTGATGGAAAGTGGTAACCGTCGCCTATAGACATGAGCAGTACCACGGCCATAACAGAGTATACTGTTTCGTCCATGATACCCCCCATGCGTTGCCATTCCTAAGGACTCAGGTGTTATTCCTCTGTACTCTGTAAATTCACGCCATATTCCACCCTTCAAACCGAAACACAGCCTTGCAAACACAACTGCTTCACGGTTGAAATACGAATAGGACAGAGGTACCCAAGCAATCGACTTTTGTACAAATTCTCCCTCTTATTTACTAATTTTTCGTATGCTACTTCGTATACGTTGATTTCAAAAGTAGGACAACAAAATAGACTATTTGTAAATGGCTAAACCGATTTAAAACATACCAGTTTTTAAGTTACACCTTCAGGAACATAATTGTAAAAACAGGCGGGGTCTGCACTAACGGTATACGCTGGCGAGGCACCAGTGAGAGATGAGAGGCAAGAATGAAAATGCAAATCAGCGCATCGTGAATTTGGAATTCAGCACGATGGCTTCTAGGGGGAACTACGAGGAGTTAGATCTGACAGATTATGTTGTTAGCAATGGGGTTGGTAGTCCGCATTATTAACAATTCCTTCCCCCCAGGCTTTCGCTTTTTTAATAGATGATAATGGAATAGAGATGGGCAATCCACCTGGGTGGGTTTAAAGTCTGGTGGGTAAAAACCGGGTGTTTTGGGTTTATTGGGTTTAAACCCCATAAACACCCAAATTTTTGGGTGTTTATGATTTTGTACTTCATCATCGTCATCTCAGCCGCAAGACGTCCACTATACTGGACATAGACAATATTATTATGCAGCCTACAGAATAAAAAACTTTTAATTTGATTTTGAGTTTATTAAGAAAGAGATGAAAGTAAAATGTAAAACTACAGTCAATCACTGTCAGATTCAGAGTTATTACAAGCGATGAATTGTATAGGTTCGATAGGCTCTATTTCGTCTAAACTGTTATGTTCATTTACTTGCTCAATGAAAGCTTCTAAGGTATTTTCTTCATTAAACTGAATGTCCTCGCATTCAGCTTTATGTTTAAGATTCCAGTTATAACAAATGAATGAAATTTTTTCAGTTCTTTCAGTTGTAAGTCGATTTCTTTTGTTATTATGTATGTAGCCTTGGATACTAAAGGAACGCTCAGTGGCTGCCGAAGTACAGGGAGCTGATAGAATACGAATCGCTACTTTGCTTAACTCAGTGGAACCACAAATACCTTTCCACCATATTAGGGGCTCAATGCTATCTAATGAGCTCCATACAAATCCTCTGGCCCAAAAGTTTTCTTTAGCTTTATAACACGCCAAATCTGCCATTACATTTGACAAACTTAAGTGTTGGCTTAAATTGTAGATAAACTCCATACCCTTAAGTTCTTCCTCTTGAGTAAGTTCGACTCCTAGAGTCCTGGGGTCTAGAATATATGCTGCAAAATGTATTGGCCTCATTGCCATATTGCATCTTGAAGATACTGATGTTAGAATCTGCTGTTTGCTTTCTTCGCTCAATGTCGAAATCTCATTTAATGCAAAACGTATCTTAGCTTGTACATCTCTAAATGTAATGTATGTGCGATGCAAACGATTCTGGTCGCTCTCTAAGTAAAATATGCTTTCAGTGACTGGTTCCAAAATACTTATACATTCCCCTGTCTTCGTCCAGAAATCATCACTTAGAATTAAATCTTTAATATCTCTTGAAATTACCACATCTTCTCTAACTGTTAATATTTGCAAAGCTATCTTATTTGCTTTCAAACTTTTTAACGAAGTAACATGACTTCCCCATCTTGTAGCACAAGGCAATTTTAGTGTTTGTGTAGAATCTTCACCCTGCCTTGATTTTATCAACAAGGAACTTAATCGTTGACTCCTTTTAACAGTTTTTATTATATTTATGGCTTGCATAATAAACACAGTTACTTCTTGTATCTTTACAATATCTTGGCACAACAAGTTAAGGATATGTGCACAGCAACCGAGAGGAACAACATGTGGATATTTGAGTTTTGTTAATTCGAATGCCTTTTGTATATTTCTAGCGTTATCGCCAATAAGTACAAGAAACTTATTTGCTCCATACACTTTCATTACTTTTTCAACTTCTTGGCTAAGGTATTCACTAGTGTGAGGATTACTTTCTGTATTCAAACTTTTAACGTATGCAGGTTGAGGTTTTGATATAAGAAAGTTTATTATTCCTTCATTTCTTAAATTAGACCAGCCATCGCACTGAAGGTGTAAGTAACTACAAGCATTTAGTTCCTCATTTAACTCAAAACGCATTTCTCTATATATTTTATCTAAGTATTTTGTCGCTAAAGCTTTACGTGAAGGTATTTTAAATTTTGGTTGCAATTTTTCGAAAAATTGTATCCATAAAGGATGTTGCACCATCGATAATGGCGTCCCTGTTACAAATATAGCTCTCGCTAATTCTGTTTTTATATGATCATCGGTGTCTTGAAACTCAGCATTTATTGTAGTGTTAGCAGACGACGAGGGGCTTATAAAAGAATCATTTGTCTCTATCTCTGACAGTCCAGACATTTTGGTTTTGGACGAGCTATCTTTTATAAGTTTCATAGAGTCTTTTAATGTTTCTGGAGATTTTGGACAAGTGATAAGATGTTGAAGCATTTTGGCAGCATTACTGAATTTGTAGACCTTATTACAAAGCTTGCAAGAAACAGACTTGTTTGGTAAAGTACGGTAGTGCTCCCATATGCGTAAATCTTTAGGTCTCCCCATTGAACCTAAAAAAATGAACGATGATTAGTTGGTCTGACGAAAATTCAACAATAGAGTGCCTATTTTTTTACAATGATTATTTCTTGTTATTTACAATAAATTTATTAAAAAAATAATAAAATAAATACAAAAAACCTTTGTAAAATTACATCTCCTCGGAGGATTAAACGCAGACGCTAGTTTATTATCGTATTGTTCTGTATTTTTCTCAGCAACTTCTTTAATTCGATTAGGTACTTACGCATATTATGTTAAAAATAAATATCTAGTACACATCTTAGGCTATCCACCATTATTATCCAATGACGACTCTCAGCTAACTATGCACTATCATCCAAAATAAACGTGTATGGAAAATTTTATCCCAGTCGGTTGAGGATTGAGGATAATTGCATCAACATACGAACATACCTACATACTTTTATTTACATAACGCAAGCTAAATAAAAGCTTGTAATAATACATCTAATTTTAAGTTAAAATTGTTAAGTGATCATGATATAATTGTATCATTCAAAAATCCACTTACCTTTAATTATTTCTTGTTAAGTATAAATATTATTTCAAATCTGCTCCCTTAATATGCACTTTTTTACTGCTTTTCCTACCTAACACGTTACCAGGAAGTCACGTTACCAGAGTCAGAGTAATAGTGAACACGTTTGACAGTGATTGTCGTCGCCTCATATTCAGCGTCGACGAATAGGGGAATCCCCAGTCATAATGTATTGCATGCGTGGCGGTCTTACTTCAAATCCATAAACAAAGAGATAATTACAGAACTCGATACTAGATGGCGCTGTTTTTGTTTGAAGAAAGTTTGCGGGCTAAAATACATAGAATTTCATCAATGACTTCCACAAAGAACAACATTTCTGTTTTTTCTAAGTCCGTATCTCTTCCGTATATTTCATAAGATATAAGCTTGGGCTACATTGTTATGCAACGTGATTTTGTCGCTGTCTTGCTAGCAGGGTTGACAGATATACGATTTAAATCGTACTCATACTATTATTTGTCTATTTTTTAATGTACGATCGTAAAGATTATGATCGTAATTCGCACAAAAACATACGACTTTTTGGTTACCTGGCAACATTTTTATTATGAAACGAACATGCTCACATCATCAGTCACATGCAACAATTTATTGGGGATTTCCCCTTCACATCTGGCAGTCCTGCTTGCTAGAATATAGGTAAGTCAGCCACAGTTACTGACGATCGATATTTAAAGGGTATTGTTTTTGTGCTAAATATTTCATAAAAACGTTATTTAATACTTTTTGGATTATTAATTTAGTTGATAATCACTGGAAGTAAAATGGATGCTAATTTGAGAGATCAAGATCTTCGTATAAAACAGTTAATAAAAGAAAATCTACGTAAGTACTCTTTTTATACCTAGGTAGGTAAGGTATAATAAACACAAAAGGTACTTAGATCGCGTGTGTTCGAAGCATTTATTCTAATAAATTTAATTTAAAATTGTAGAAAGAAAAAAATGTCTGCCAAGCCGTAGCCGAAGCCGATCTCCAAATATATTTGGCGATAGTGAGACCCAGTGTCCAGATGATTTACCCAGCGTCGTCGCAACAAAGAAAAAAACGAGGATAAAGTAAAAGAAAATTTACTGAAAGAAGAAACAAACTGTTCTAAATGCTTAATTTATGGAGAAGAGGATAAAAGAAATGAGTATTTCGGACTGTTAGTGGCTCAAGAATTTAAATATATACGGCCATGTGTGCGAACGAGGTGTTATGAAGAAATTTTAAAGTATCTACGGGAAGCAAAAGGCCAACATGTTGATCAACTGCAACATGAAAACACTGAAAATTAATTACTTTCATTTTATTATATATAGATTTTTAAAATTTCCTGAAATATTATTAGTTAACGTTTTATTTAATATTGTAGAATTGATCAATACAATTTATAAAAATAATTTATTAGTATTACTTACATATTTTCAAAAAAATACGTAAAAACCTATTTTTTTGGGTGATTATGGGAGTTTATGGGTGTTTATTGGGTTTTTACCAAAGCACCGGGTTTAAACCCGGTGCTTTGCCCATCTGTATAATGGAATGATCCCCCCCCCTCACCCCCGCCTGCGCTAATGGTATAACAGTGGCGAGGCACCAGTTAGGTATAATAGATGAGAATGAAAAGATAGGCTTTCGCATTAGATGGCGCCACTCTCACACGAGTAGTACGTGGATCTTTATTCTTATGGTAATAGTACCTTTTGTACCTTTATGTGTATATTTCAATCTGTATTTATGTTACTGTATTTCACTTGAATTATTCACTCGTCATTGTATATTTTTATTTATGGTGCAATTAAGAGTTAAATAAATAATAGTCTCACCTGGGCACCATGTTCTGGTCGACCTCGAGGCTGTCTTTGTGTTTGCTTTCCCTCTTCTTTGTGTTCCGCGGTTTCTTGGGCGGCGCGCGGGATATACACTGCGAACAGTACCACTTGCCGCGGGGATTCTGCACACATACAAACGTATATTTATTATTAGCTGTATTATGCGATTTTAGTTTCTTATTTTATTTATTTCACACACAGTGAAATTCTATGTACATATAGCGGACTTATCACCGGACGGTGTTCTCTACCAGTCAACAATTGGGCAAACAGAGAAATAAGTAGGCGGTGCATTATTGAATAGAGGAAATGTAAAGTTAAATTTAAAGGCTTAATCACGTTAATTGGAATATGAAGTCAATAGTGTTTATTCAGAAAGGTCTAAAAGGGATAATAGTTAGCAAACTTTTAAGGTTTTACCAATGTAATAGAATATTTTTCTTAAACAAAGATTGAGTTGTTTTGAAATATGTCTATTTTTAACAGATACAGAGACATAAAAACAATAAAAAACACTCTCATATTAACATTGATTACTGTCCATATTAAGATTGATTAATGTCTAAACGTAATTGAGTCAAATTTATAATGTCAGTTAAAATCGTAAACACACTTTATGTTAAAATCAAAGATTAAATCACACCATCACTATATTAACTTATTAATACCCCACTGCTGGGCATGGACAAAGACGTAACAAGAAGTACGACAAAGAGGCAAAACGGATATCCTAATCGCTAAATTGCAATAAACGACATTAAAATATAAAAAGAGTTAATTAGAGGAGTGTGGGAGGCAGAGATAAAATGTGCACACCTTCGGCAGTGGCGGGTAGTGGCAGTCCTGATGGTAGGCCCGCACGCACAGTGCACACGGGATGGTGCGCGAGTGTTGGTGAGCGCCGCCGCACACTATGCACACACGCTCGCCGCGCGCCTTGTTCACACACTCCCAGCAGTACCTGCAGCAAACATATACTTTTTTATTTATGTAGCCGCTAAAAAATTTATTTATTTATTTTATTTATTTACTTTATTGCACCAAGTAAAAAGAGAAATAACAAATATAGTAAATATTAATGAGAAGTGATACAAAAGGCGGCCTTATCGCTAAGCAATCTCTTCCAGACAACCTTTGGGTAGAGGACATTGAGAAAAAGACAAAGGACAGGTGGCGCACTATTATATAAATATTATCATATACAAACATATATACATACATATATACATATATACACATACATATATAATATATACACAATTAAATATATACATAACATACACATACTTAACAGCACACATACAACAGAGAAAAAAAATGACGAAGGAAAACGAAGAGAGAACACAGGAAAATAGTACTAAAGTGAGAGGTAGTAAGATTTAACAGAGGTTTTGAAGCTAGTAAGAATTCACAGGAATTCTATAACATGCATTTACTTTTCTTATAGGAGTTACAAGTTACATCCTTGAGTGTCGGGAGAAGTTGCAAGAAGTATGATTCTCATATTATTTTAACCCCTTTATTTACAAAAAACAAAAAGAAATATATAAACCTATTTTAACTAGGTAAGAGTGCTTTGTCACTGTCTTTCAAATTGAGAAATTAGTGTAAAAGAAAAAGACGAAATGCTTCAATAGCTAAAATAGGTTTAAGAGAGGTTTGATGTTTTTATGAATAAGGGAATAACTATTTAAACTACGTTTACTGTTGTCAGAGGTAAACATTTACCTCTTATGGCTGCTATCGGTTAATTTAAGAATTGTTTATAATGAAAATTATTTGTAGCATATATCAATATTTATTTTTTCTGCAACTTAGAATAGCAAACAAGCTGACGGCCCACCTGGTGAATAGTGGTAACCGTCGCCTATAGACATGAGCAGTACACGGACTATAACAGAGTATACTATTTCACCCATGATACCCCCCATGCGTTCCCATTCCGGACGACTCAGGCGTTATTCCTATATACCTTGTAAATTCACTGCCATATCCCACCCTTCAAACCGAAACACAGCCATGTAAACACAACTGCTCCACGGTAAAAACACGAATGGGACAGAGGCGCCCAAGCAATCGACTTTTGTACAAAGTCTCCCTCTGGTATTTACAATTAAGGGGAAAACACTATAATAATATACAATCTTGTAATTATTAATATTTATAATAAGTTTACTATTGTAATCTTTTGGAGGAAACAATAAAGAGAATCTATCTATCTGTGGGCGACAAAGGAAACCAGGGATGGAAATTTGAAATATGTATATAATAATCAAAGGAACTTAGAAGACTATATCCGAGAAGGCAAGCCAAAAGGAAACAATAGATATGCGTGTCAATTTCGAATTTGGTAAATAATAACATATAGCTATAAATAATATATGTGGCCTGTATTCCACACTATCTATAATCTATGATCTACCTATCAACGGCTTAGCTGACCCCATATGCGAAAATAAGATAAAACCTATCTATGACAGTACTTTTTTTTTTACAACACCTCACTCTTTTTTTTTTTATACCACTGAGGTGGCAAACAAGCATACGGCCCACCTGATGGTAAGCGGTTACCGTAGTCTATGAACGCCTGCAATACCAGAGGTATTACGCGCGCGTTGCCGACCCTGAAGAAACCTCTTTACCCCCCTTTTGAAGAACCCCATGCTGTAGTCTCTCGGGAAAACCTCGGCAGGGAGCTCATTCCATAACCTGAGTGTTCGTGGGAGAAAGCATCTCTGAAACCGCGTTGTACGCGACCATTTAGGCTGTAAGGTATGAGGGTGAACTCCCTGCCGATGGCGAGCCGTACGATGATAGAAAGTGGCCGTAGGCATCATATTGAATAATTCCTCTGAGCACAATCCGTTGTATAAGCGGTAGAACACGCAGAGTGAGGCAAAATCTCTCCTAAGACTTAAGGGTTCGATACCGCTTGCAAGCATGGGATCATCGACAATTCTCATAGCTCGTCGTTGCACTGAGTCGAAGGGTTCAAGCTGGTATCTAGGTGCTCCCGCCCATAAGTGACAGCAATACTCCATATGGGGCCGGATTTGCGATTTGTAAAGCATTAATCGCTGATCCGGCGTGAAGTAATGCTTCGCTCTATTGAGCACACCGAGTTTTTAAAGATTGTCGGTTCAAACCAATTGTAATATTCACTTGTAATTAGTTTGTGGGTAACCATTATTGGCCTATGATATTTAATTCTTCATCATCATCAGTCTTTAACCGTCCACTGCTGAACATAACCCTTGGTGAGTTTTGCCAATAGTTGCAATGCTTGGCAGGCGAATTAGCAATGGCAGTTAGGCTTTGGAGATGTTTTAAGAGGGACACTGCTGTCCATCCATCCTCGCCCTCCCTTAGCCGCCTCTTACGACACCCACGGGAAAGGAACGGGTGGCCTATTCTATGCCGGAACCACACGGCTTTTGGCATCTAATAATTTGTAAGTTTAAAGCTGTTATCCTAAATATAGAAAATAAAGTAAAATAAGGTAGTTGCGACTGACCAGTCGCCCTCCGGGATCTTCTCCATCCGCGGCTTGAAGCAATACGTGTGGTAGCCCTTGTCGCATCCGTCGCATAGAAGAAGCTGCTCCTCGTCGTCACCGCGCAAGCAGAACTGGCAGTTCTAGAACAAATATATTGCAATAGGTGCATATAATTATAATTATTTAATTTGGATCCTTTTTACTATGGTGAGAAGCCCTTCTTAAGTGTAATTTATTCATTTAAATAAATGTTAAACCCGCTATAAACTATAACATGGGTTATATTTTAATTAAATAAAAAACCATGTGAATCCGAGGCGGATGGCTAGTTTTTGAACTTACCGCTTTCATGATGCTCTTATCCCAAGCGACGGCAGCCTCCAGAGCTTGCACCAGCTGCGCTAACTGCGCGGACGTATTGCACCTGCTCAGAGCCTCCCTCCACGTCGCTAGTCCTCGGGCTATGCCTTTTGTATCTGCTAAGTTCAAACATCACTTATTTCAACAAATATTTGGCATGACATCGTCATCGGCAGGGAATTCATCCTTACACCTTAGAACCAGAATAATCACGCACAATGCGGTTTCAGAGTAGCTTCCTCCCGCGAGCAGTTAGGTTGAGGAATGATCTTCCTGCCGAGGGTTGCCCTATAGACTGCAGCATGGGGATCTTCAAAAAGGGCGCTTAAGGTTTCATAAAGGTCGGCTACGCACGCTTGACATCCCTGACGTTACAGGCATTTGTACGGTAGCTCCGTTTACCATCAAACGAACCGAATGCCTGTTTACTACCAAAGTGGAATATATTTAAAAATTGGTCCCATAGAAATTTTATCAAAATTGGTTCAGTCAATTAATTTTTAGACTAAAATAACTGGTTTTGTCACACTTGAAAATTGTGACAATTGAAAACAATTAAAAAAATTTTTTTTGAAACAATATTTAATCATTTGATGTCGGTTGAAGAGTTAATATTTTGTACCAGCTCCGTCTTCAGCTAAACCGATATAATTCTTAACTTATCGAAATCATGACAAAACTTGCAAAATGAAGGATATTTAATGTAGTACCTTTTGCCTCAGTAGCACCATCGGCGTTCTGTGGTGAGGATGCCGACGAGTTTCCATGTTCGCCCTGCAACACTGCACCCAGGGTTGCTTCGGCCGTGCTGTTTAAAAATTCCTAATCAGCATGATGTATTTAATGGTCTTACCTAATGGTCGAGCGAGGGGGAACGGGATTGTTAGCAATGGAATTTGACAGCCCCATTGCTAGCAATATGCCTTATTAGGTCGACCTCCACGTGATTCCCCATGGAAACCATCGTTAACAATTCTTGTTGAATTCGTCACGATGAGCTAACTGACCTACTTCATCCTCACCTTTTTCACCTCACCTTCATTCTTCACTGGTGCCCCGCCGGTGTATACCGATAGCGCGGGTGGGGTTATCATTCCATTATCATCCATTAAAAAAAAATGGTCGAGTCCCTATTAAAACATCACCAAAGCCTAACTGCGGTTGTCAACCCGCCTGCCAAGCGTGGCAACTTTTGGCAAAACCTCCCAAAGGGGGAGGAGGCCTATGTTCAGCAGTGGACAGTTAACAGATGGTAATGATGAAGATGTATTACTAGTATTAACTTTCAATATGGCGACACTAGAACATTGTTGATTTAATAACTTTAGTCTTACTTTAAAATTTTGTCATTTTCAATGATATAGTTGAATTGGTTATTCGGTTAATTATTTTTATAAAGCTTAAAATGGCTAATAAACACAAACTGTGGATAACTCACAAACACAGTCCAATATACAGATATAGGCACGTGCCCACCACACCGACACCCACACACACACATACATACATACACAATGCATGCAAGGATAATGGTCATGTAAGAATTACACGCAAAACATTAATTTTATTAATTAATTTCCACACACAATTACAACATCCAATGTGTCAACAAGGGAATCAATTGGTCGATTGTGAGGCATCATTACTCTAAATCTATCGATTAATCTAATATTTTAATTTGATAGTTTTGCAAAATTACTGTTTTCTGGACCATCACAAGCTCGATTTATAATAATTTTCATTTAAATATATCAGAAATTTAGTTTATATTGGTCTTTAGAATAAAATAAAATTAGAACAATATAACATTTTCATTTCATTCATTTATACTTTATTTTACACGAATATTACATTGTTATAATTTATTTTTAAATAAAAATGTATAAGAAACGAGTTTAACTCTGCAAGAGTTCTCTTCCAGCAAACCCTGAGTGGTTAGAAGCATTAAAATTAAGTACCAATGTAAAGGGGTACTCGCGACGCACGAGACCCTTGATTCAGGGTTTTATTGAGCCCGGATGATAAATCCAACTAGTTTATATTACTGGCCAGACTGGCGGGCACAAACCAGGCCTGTAGCTAGCCAGTAATTTGGCTAGCTACATTACAACTGGCTTATTTAGAGTTTGTATGAGTTTATTAAGGCATAATACTGCTGATTTAAATGGACATAAATGATATTGCTATTCAGCAATATGTCTACACGCTAAAGCTGTAACAGTACGTAAGTTAAACCGGTATTTATTTAATTATTTTTTATATTTTATTTGCATTATACAATATAGGGAATAAGCAAGACAATTAATAAATGTAACGATACAGTTGTATAAGTACAGTAAGGCGGTCTTATTGCTGAGAGCAATCTTTTCAAGACAAACTCAGGACTAATTGTTGTACAAGTAGGTATGATAATATTGTAAACAAAACTATTATTGCCTCATCGGGCAAAATTCTTACCGGGACAGTTCATATAGCGAAAAATCATTTTGTGTGTCACAAAAACAACATGCAGGTTTCATTAACTACCCACCACAATTAAGTCAGATGATTTTCACTTTACCTAGCATACCTTTGTACCAAAGGCGGTTTTAAGTATCGTCTCTCTATGTGGGCCTCTAGTTGTGCCAACTTCTTCCTCGCCTGCGCCACTATGGACATAGTGTCGTCGACACCGCGAGTCGGTCGCCAGCCTTTGACTTGCATCCACGCTGCTGCTACGCGCTCTTCTAATTGCTCCACCTGGTGGTAAAAAAAGGAAACGGAATAAATAAAATTTTCTTGGCTTGTCATTTCAATCGCATAAAAGGCGTTTATGGACCGTACTGTCCTCGTTTACTGTGTGGTCCCGGCATAGAATGGATCACCACTTTCTTTCCCATGGGTGTCGTAATAGGAGAGTAAGAAAACTCAACTGCTAAAAGATAAACTACGGTTGCCAACCCGCTTGCCAAAAGTGGCAACTACCAACAAACCGTAGTTAACGGATAATATAATGATAGCTTAAAACACCCGTTTGAAAATATAGTTTTCTATAGATGAAAGAATTTTTAAAATCAGTCGAGTAGTTTTTAAGTTAATTGATTACAAACAAATCTTTATAATATTAGAATAGATATACATAAATCAAATTTTAATAAATACACATAATGTTTAACAGAGATTTAAAAGATGTTAAGATTCTTGCGGGCTCTTCTCAATAGATAACAACTTTCCGAACCATGCTGTAGATTAAAAAAAAAGTTTTAAAAGTGCTTGTAAACAAGTCTATTTGAATTTGAAGAAGCTTGTAGAGTATGAGGTAGAAGCGTTACCGTGTTGAGTATGTGCATGTCGAGCCTCCTGGCGGTGGCGAGGGAGTAGGAGGCCGGCGGGTCCGGGCCGGGGAAGCCTCCGCTCTGGGCGATCACGCGGTCCACGTGCGACAGGGACAGCTCCGTGCTCAGCATGTCGCCCTTCTCTATGTACAGCTGTTGAGTTTTAGTCAGCTATCATTGTCATGTTTGTCCACTCGTTCTACATAAAACAGGGGGACAATTTCGTGTTTTCGTTCGTAAAGAGAGCTTAATATTTTGTTCGCTATAAATCCTACCATAGTAGTCTAGAAGGAAACGGTATGTATTATTTATTTATTTATTTTTTCCAACTAACGGAGCTTTACAGTTTTCCAATGCGCTCCCTTAGCAATCACAATATATACAATCATAACCTTTTAATTATTGGACACTTTCCAAATAATTTATTGGCATATGTAATTTTAACATCAAATTTGTTACGTTCGACCTCAAAATTTCGGAAAATATTACATGGTAGGCCCTCAGGGTATCGCAGCTCCAGTATCACGCCATTGGTGTGATTGTAAAGTAAGCAAAAAAAATCCTTACTAATACTCATTCAATCGGAATATTGTAAACTAGCTTTTTACCTGCTACTTCGCACGAATTAATTAAAGAAGTAGGAAAACCAATGAAATGAGACTACTTCTATGGCGTCTTAAGATAAAGCATATAACAGATTTCCAACTGACTTCAAAAACGTTTCAATTCAGTTTTTTTTATGTTTGTTATCTCATAACTGCGTCAGTTATAAACCGATTTGGAAAATTTATTTTTTATTGAAAGGATATACTTATAGATTGGTCACATAGAATTTTTATCAAAATAGGGACAGTAGTTTAGTTTTGAAAACAAAATAACGGGGTTTGCCATAATTTAAGTAGATTTTTTTGTGGGACACAATCTTAATTATATTGTTATTTTTTTTTATCATAAAGTGTACAATTAAAGTGGGGAATTAAATGTAGGATTAAGCAGGAATGAAATATGTATTTTTTTCTTTTATAATAATTTTGCTGAACAATAAAAACTATATTTTTTTTAACAAATGACACTTCAAAATCGACTCTAATACAACGAATTATGACATACCTTATTATTAACAGTGGGTACATGCTGCACAAGGGCCGTGTGCAGTTCCCTCTCGCGAACTCCTCGCGGATGGAGAGCATCCATCAAGTCCTTCAGCTGTTCAGGTTCCGTGATACGCCACCAGCCGTGTCTGTTAAATAATCGGGGATTATAAGTATTTATAGTACTTCACTACTTCTCATAGTAATCCTAGTGCGAGGGGTGGAGGGCTTTGTTAGTAATTTGCATAACCAGTCCCATTACTAGCAATATACCCTGTCAGGTCGACCTCCACGCGCTCATCCTATAAAACCAAGATCGTGGTAAATTCCTGGTGTATACATTATGGTGGGCTAACTGATTTGCCTTTACATCTTCACTTATCATCTCTTATTGGTGTCCCGCTAGCGTATACCGGTAGCGCAGGCGGGGATACTATTCCATTGTCATCTATTAAAAAAATATAGTGGGAGGCCTAGGATTGTTTTTTAAATGTAACAAAATTTTAATAAACTGAGTTATATGCCTGGGCGGATGGCTATTAATATAATTATAGACACGGATAAATAGACAGAAATATAAATGATTATTATATAGTAAATTATTGATAGTCTGGGTTTCATTACTGCAATTTTTCTACAGATCTCACATTTTTTTAAAATAATATGTAGCCCATGTTACTCGCAAATTTTTGTTTGTTTGTAAAGGATAAACATAAAAACTACTTAACTGATTTTAAAAATCTCTCTATAGAAAACTACACTATCAGCGAGTAACAGGCTGTATTTCATTAAAAAAAAAATCTTACCTAAGTTCCCTAGATACAAAGTTCCCCTCAATCTTCTTCGGTAGACCATTGACTTTACAATTCTCCAACTGCTCCATTTCCTCAGGGGACATCTGTATCGGCGGTGGACTGTCACAGGTCACGTACGTCGAGAGGGCGTTGAAGTTCAGCAGTCCAAGGCTGGTGAGGCTCTGAGCTTTGGCCTTTTGGGACGCTGCGTCGTGTTTTAAGGCGTCTGCTTGGAGTTCTTTTTCGAGGTCATTGTCCTGCAAGGTTGTGAGTGGCATATGACGATTTGTTTTAATAAAAAAAAATTAAATAAACCCGGAACAAATAATTTCATAAACTTATGTGTCCAAACACTAATAATTAAGTCAGATTGTAGATTTTAAATGGTATCTGATATGCAGATATGGGCATGGAATAAAGAACATAAGCAAGGCTATGAGGGCAGAGGAAGATGTAAAAAGACATTGATGGACTGTGTGACAGATGATACGATACGATACGATACGTGCCAGAATGGGAGTGAAGATTGCTAATAAAGAAGAATGGAAGTGGAAAACATATTACGCCCATCACGAATAATACTTGGGATAAAGGCAGGAAGATGCATATATCACTTACCATCTCCTTACTCTCCTCTTCAACTTCATTCTCTTGCACACTGCTGTCTTTGTTCAAACTCGCATCCATCATGACTTGGTCTAACCCAGACATGGTCAGACTAGAGTCCGCATACACATTATTTGATGGCACCTGTACACTAGTTACCATGCTATTCAGTGTGAACAAACTCGGGTCGTTCAGCAAGTGTAAGTTATTTGAAACATCCCACTTGTGGCCTTGGCACACCACCACTTCCGAACACGTGTGCTCGTTATCGCAGTACTCTGGTATTTTATCATGTTTCTCCTCGTGGATGTTAGTCAAAAATGAATTCTCGTGCCTCAGTATTGAGAACCATTTTCCTTCTAACATCTTCGCGTATAGATGATTGTGAGCGGACTCCGGATCCATGATCTCTTTTTTCACTTCCTTGACGTCTTTCTCTTCTTTTATCTCCTCCTTAGCGTCGATCTGCGAGGAGACAGCTTCGGCTAACTTTCTTAATTCTTCTAAATTGTTGACTAGTTGATCTTTCTCTTTTGATTCGTCTTCCGTTTCATTCTTGACTACGTTCTCGACTTTCACGATCTCTTGTGGCTTGTCTATGGGTTCCGCTTGGGTGGCATACATGGGTTTATGAGTGGGCTTCTGTACGAGAAACGCTGTGGGGATGGAGTCCTCTATATCAAGCATGTCTTCTTCCTCGTTGTTCTGTTTCTGTTGGATGTATTTCTCTTCCATTTTTATTGACGAACCTGAAGAGAACATAAAAAAAAAAAAACAAATTTACTTACTACACTTTAATAGACCAAGTAAGTGTAAATGGCAGACTTAACACTACATGGCGATAAATACAAATAAAGTTTGATAAATTTACTCAGATCATGAAAACGAGTTACATTATATACCTCACTAGTTTTTGCCAGTCACTTCTTACGTGTGGAATTCAAAATTAGGAGAATCAACGAAATAGAACACTTGTAGGTGGCGTATTAAGATCAAACATACACTGGAATTTAAGTTACATTTTTAAGAACACAAACAAAAGATGCATCCAAAAAATGTAGATGTTCAGTAACATATTGTAAAACTCCGGAGAGAGCATGGAGACCTGTAGTACAGGTTTCGACCTAGTTCAGACTCCAGACTCTCACAAGGATAATAATTTTAAGTTAAAATACTAAATAGTCACACAATGTAAAATATTCCTTGTGAGTAGTGAATAAAGATTATTATTATTAATTTGGTGCATTAGTTTTAGCGTGATGTCAGAACACATAGACAAAATTTCCAAATAAAAAAATAAAAAAACAATTGTGGTAAAACCATTTATTTTAATTTAAAAACTAAACTACAGAATTGATTTTGATAATATTTCTATAGGAACAGTGTATCTCTTTAGATAAAAAAAAAAAGAATTTTTCAAATAAGTTTACAACTAACAGAGACAACAAACATAAAAAAAATACAAAATTGAAGAACGCCTTCATTTAGCAGTCGGTTGAAAAATGTATTAAGAATGAAACAGTATACTCTGTTACGTCCATGGTACTGCTCATGTCTATGGGCGACGGTTACCACTTTCCATCAGGTGGGCCGTCAGCTTGTTCGACATTCTAAGTAGCATAAAAAAAAGAAATTCGTGTTTTCGGAAATTGCTTATGAATAACCGACGGAGTTATGAGATAACAAATATAAAAAAAAGTACAACCGAATTGAGAAGCTTCTTCTTTTTGAAGTCGTTTAAAAACATTTACTTACCTTCGACTTTACAAGCTCCGTGTTTGACATTAGGCTCGTATTTAATAATTTGCGTGTGATCGCTCAAGTTCAACTCTGATTTGATGCTTTTTAGTTCTAATTCGCTTTTCAGCGCCTCTTCTTTCTTCAGAGCCTCCGTCTCGGGGTCTCGTTTGTCTTCTGTCTCTTTCTTTTCCCTGCCGCCTGGTAAATATTAGAAAAGTAACAAATATAGAACAAGTAGTCGGCACTTGCTATTCTCAAGGCCTAATTAGGAGATTTATATATGACTTAAAGCAATTCCAAAAAAATTCCGTGTGGTTCGAACACAAAATGAGCCACTTCCTAGCCCGTAGATGCCGTAAGAGACGACTAAGGGAGGGCAAAGGATGAGTAGCAGATGATGCCAACCCGCCTGCCAAACGTGTTAACTACTAGCAAACCCAGGCCAGTAGGAGGATAAGGGGGAAGCCTATGTTCAGCAGTGGACAGTTAAGGGCTGATATGATGATAATGATGGATTCCAAAAAATTAAACAATAGATTATAGAACTGTCAACTCACCTTTCTTCTTCTTCTTGCTGCTATCTTCATTCTGTTTTCCGTTGAGCGCATTCGTTTCCAGCCCCTGGTGGTACTGCATGATCTCTGGCTGGGCAGACTCCATCGCCTCGACGAAGATGCCGCCTGACTTGCCCAGGGACCAGTACCGTCGCCAGTACCTGATAGATTTATGGATTTGTAAATACCGCAATTTTTTTTTTACACCACGGAAGTGGCAAAAAAGACATTTAGCAAAGTACAATGTTTGATGGAGGAATATTTGAACAAAAAGTCCACTTTGGGTTTGCTGGAAAAGAACTCTTCTGTCATATTTTTTATTTATTTATTTAATACTTTTTTGTACACATTAATAATACATAAAAATATAACAGAGGTAAAAAAAATGTACAAAGGCGAGCTTAACTCAGTCTTCCAGTAACACTCAAAGTGAAAAGGAGCATCAATGTTAGCGGGTAGAGTGGTGTACAATATTGGGAAAATATGTAACTAGACAAATTTAAATTTATACATAACTAATTATATCATATTTAATTTTAATTTATTTTTATGTATAATTAGTGTGTACAATAAAGTATAATATAAAAAATATTGGGCGAAATTGAAAGGACGGCGTTATATTTTCGAATGAATAAGCAATCATATTAAAGGAAGTTCACACATATAAAGTTCGAATATTTAGTTTTTTCTTTTATTATTCTAAAAAAGTTTAAATGTAATTGATGTGTATAATATTACTATCCTTTGCTGACTTAAAAAAAAAAAAAAAACATATTAATAAGACATGTACTCTCAGACAAGCTTTTACGTAGGGATTTTTTTTTATAACACAAATGGGAAAACGAGCATTTGGCTCACCTGATGATAAATGACTACCGCCGTCCATGAACACCAATACCACCAGAGGCATTGCAAATAAACTACAGAAATACGCTCTTCTTTTTTTAAGGTTATGATGCTGGGGTAGGCACTAGACAAAGCGTGGGTACCGCTTACCTGTCCTGTCCATAACACGTGGCTCTTAGTGCGTGTGACCCGGCTGTTAGTTGTTGTAACTGCTGTTCTGATTGCCTGAGCAGCTTCTCCAGCTTGCGGCCTAGTTCTTCTGATGATAAATTCTTGTCCTCGTCCTGGAAACCAAGTCAGGATATATTTTAGACTAGCTATAATCCCCAATATAATATAATCTATATCGAGACAGGTAAAGTTTTTTCACGTCTAAAATATTAGTAAGGTTTAATATATATATATATATATATATATATATATATATATATATATATATATATATATATATATATATATATATATATATATATATATATATATATATATATATATATATATATATATATATATATATATATATATTTTATACAACTTAGAATGGCAAACAAGCTGACGGCCCACCTGATGGAAAGTGGTAACCATCGCCTATAGACATGAGCAGTACCATGGACATAACAGAGTATACTGTTTCGCCCATGATACCCCCCATGCGTTGCCATTCCTGAGGACTCAGGTGTTATTACTCTGTACCCTGTAAATTCACGCCATATCCCACCCTTCAAGCCGAAACACAGCCATGCATGCAAACACAACTGCTTCACGTTAGAAACACTAATGGGACAGAGGTACCCAAGCAATCGACTTTTATACAAAGTCTCCCTCTGGTATAAGTTTATGGATAACGTTATGTTGAACTCACCTCTTCTGGTTGCGTTCCCTCGCTTTCCAAATCACTTAATATAGCATCACAATCACCCATCACACTGTCTTTGTCCAACTTATTGTCTGTCGGAGAACATTCCTCCTTATTGTTGTTGAGTATCTCCTTCGTTTTCATATTGTTGGACAGGTCCTTTAAGGGCGATAGTTCCTTGTCGCTCTCATCGGGCGGCGCGTCCTTGTACGGGGAGATAGGTTTGTCGTCCGCTTCTGGTGGGGACAGATCTTTCTTGGGCGTCTCTTTATCTTGTGGTGGGTTTTCTGTGGAATAAATATTGTTATTTTTTAGGCAGGTATATCTGTAATTTTCATTTTTAACTGGCTTTTGTCCGCGACTCCATCCAAATGAAATGCAATCAATTTATTTGCAAAGGTTTCTGATACATAATCATCATCATCATATCAACTTTTAACTGTCCACTGCTGAACATAAGCTTTCTTGGGGGGTTTTACCAGTTGCCACACTTGGCAGGCGGATTGGCAACATTGCATTGCAGGGAGTCAGTGAATGCAGGTGGCTCAGGACCATTCCTTATGACAGTCTCTGGGGGATGGCTATGTTCAGCAGTAGACGGATAACGGCCGAGATAATAATGTTGTACCAGATCGACCTCCTCGCGGTTCTCCCTGGAAACTATCACGGTTAATTCCTGATGAATTCATCATGATGGGCTCACTGGCCTGTGTTTCATTCACGTAGAGTATATCATTAATATCATTATCAATGTTGATGATATACTCTAGACCCGTGCGAAGCCGCGGCTCGCTAGTACTATAATATAGTTTATATTGCCAATAGTCAAGTTACCTCTCCACACGGTATCCTCGTGCGGCTGCGGCGAGACTCTGTTCAAGTTGGCGGTACTTTCTTCCACCAGCCGCTGCATGCGCTCTAAAGCGAGCGCTTGTTGCTTTTCCGTTTGCTCGGTGCGTAATTTGCGTTGATGGAGCACACGTATTCTGTGGATTTAAAATTTTCATAATTTAAGATTGTATATTATTAAAAAAAATAAAAACAGTTATTATAATTTACTGTTATTATAACTAAATAACTGAAATGATTTTAATAAAAGTTCTATGAGACCAATACGGAAGTTGATTTAGAACTAACGGAGTTACGAGGTAAGAAACAAAAAAAAAAAAACAAGCGAATTGAGAAACTCCTCACAACAAAGGATATCAGTGTTTTGCTCTTTTGAGGGCAAAACAATAAACTGAGTCGTGACCATTTTGCGTTACTATAGCACACACATGAAAGGAAAACAATTTTTATGTACTTCTCTTATGTACTTTGCTTTTTTTATCTATATATTCTTTTATTTCTTTTTATTGTTTTATTTATCCACATACACAGACAATATTGTACAGATTTAATGAAAATAAATTATATATATATATCTCCTCTTTTTTTGAAGTCGGTTAAAAATCCTTAACCAAAACATGTCAAGTATGAAATATGGATAAAATAAAATGTGACTCACTTCCTAATCTTCATATCCAGGAGGTACCTCTCCTTCTTCAGCTGATTGAGATGTTCCAGCGAGCCGTCGATCTGCCGCAGCACTGATTTGTTCTGAAGCAGCTCGTTGCAAAGGAATGCTAGTATCTTCGTTTTAGCCGTCGAGTTTAGCGCCAGGAATGGTTTGTCACGAAGTGACTCTGCAATTGTTAACGTTGGCGTGAAGATATACACAGATAGATAGATACTCTTTATTGTTTCCTCCAAAAGATTACAATAGTAAACTTATTATAAACATAAATAACAACAAGAAATAATAGTAATTGTTTATGTTTGATGTATGTACACAATGATATTGTATATGTGTATATATAATGTGACCAGAGGGAGACTTTGTACAAAAGTCGATTGCTTGGGTACCTCTGTCCCATTCGTGTTTCAACCGTGAAGCAGTTGTGTTGGCATGACTGTGTTTCGGTTTGAAGGGTGGGATATGGCGTGAATTTACTGGGTACAGAGGAATAACACCTGAGTCCTCAGGAGTGGCAACGCATGGGAAGTATCATGGGCGAAACAGTATACTCTGTTATGTCCATGGTACTGCTCATGTCTATAGGCAACGGTTACCGCTTTCCATCAGGTGGGCCGTCAGCTTGTTTGCCATTCTAAGTTGCATAAAAAAAAAAATATATGTATAGCATAGTCTTCGACAATAGAACCGAATGTACGAATGAAGCGAAAGTGATCGCCCAGTGGTCGAATTTCGATCATTGGGCAATTGGACACCCATTAGTATACGAGTATATAAATGCATTGCATTGCATTGCATAATTGTATTGCAGGAAACGGTTGGAGGAGGCCTTTGCCAAATGGCAAACAGATCTTCAAAAAATAAGCAAGTAACAATTATTAGAATAAGTTATTTTAAGTTTTTTAAATTTTATGTTTGTTTTAATGTCGGTACTAAGTTGATCTGAATAAAGGCTATATTATTATATAAATGCATTGCAGGGAGTCAGTGGATGCAGGTGGCTCAGGGCCATTCCTTATGGCAGTCTATGGTGGAGGCCTATGTCCAGCAGTGGACGGATACTGGCTGAAACGATGAAGATGATATAAGTATACTGACCGGACAGTTTGTACGTGCTGTTGTTGTGCAGATGCTCGTAGTAGGTCCCGTTCTTGGAGTTGGAGCACGTGACCTGCATCTCCGCGTCGGTCTGGTGGTGGTCAGCGATGCGCCGCTCGCGTTCCCGCTCCGCTGTTAGACCTGGAAAATATATATATATATTTTTTTTTTATTGGATGAAAATGGAGTGGTAACCCCGCCTGCGCTAATGGGATACGCTGGCGGGGCACCAGTGAAGGGTGATCGATGAGGATGAAAACAGGCCAGTTAGCCCATCATGATGAATTCATCAGGAATTAACCATGATAGTTTCCAGGGGGAACCGCGAGGAGGTCGACCTGGTTGGGTATATTGCTAGCAATGGGATTCTCAGTCTCCATTACTAACAATCCCTTTCCCCCCTTGGAAAACATATTAGGTTTCAAAAATGAAGTTTTAAAACCAGTCACGCGAGTAAACAATGAAAGTTTTCTTTTTTTAGTATTTAAAGGTTTTTTTTAATGGGTGATAATGGAATGGTAACCCCACTCGCGCTATCGGTATACACCGACGGAGCACCAGTGAGGGATGATAGGTGAGGAGGAAGCAGGTCAGTTAGCCCATCGTGACGAATACAAGAATTGTTCACGATGGTTTCCAGGGGGAACCACGTGGAGGTCGAACTAATAGGGCTGTCAAATTCCATTGCTAATAGTCCCCCCCCCCCCCACCTATTGAAGGGTTCCGCGATTAGTTACATACTCATCTTATGAAAATATATTTTTTAAGAGTTTTGTTAAGAGAGTGGCTGGCTGAAAACCAGCGCTGTGCAGCTGTACACATTGCACTGGGACACTCACAGCATTAACTGCACCAGTTCCTTTTGCCTAACACGAGACACTACTTATATATGTATTTTCTGTTGTAATTTTGTTTTTCTGGCAATAAATATCTCCTATTCTATTCTATACGTTATATGGTATAGTATATGGTTTAAGATGGAGCTGGCGGGCCCATTTCAATTCAATCGGTTCATAAATAAAAAAGTTAAATGAATCTGTAGAATCACATATAAAATGTTATAAAACAACCGATCAATTGAATTGGCTGACACTTTATCAAGAAAAGTAATTCTCATTTAAGTATATAACACAATATAAGACTGGCTTCATGAAGGGTTCCAATGGGAATATATAAATATACAGTTAGAAGCGGGCAACGCCGCGAGAAACGACTAGTAAATAAATAAATAGAAAAACTCACCAGTAAGTGCCTTGACCTCTCCAGTGGCATTAGCGTAAAGATATATCCTGAGCACCTCGCTGAGGTTGGCGGGCGTGATGTCCCCCATGCGGATGGCGTGGCCCAGCAGCGTGGTGTGCCGCCCCGGATGCGGGATGCCAGGATCCTCTGCAAGTATAGAGAGCCATTAATGCCTAACTGTCGTGTATCGACACTATGCCTGTATAAGAGCATTCATCATTACCATTCTAACTTGTTCTAAGAGGGTGACACAGTATAAAATAATGCAATAGCGATACCTCAGTTGTAAAACGCTTGATTACGATCCGGAGATCCTAAAATGTCAGGTCTTTGTATTCTCAAATCTTTGTATTTTCAAAATTCATTTTTGGATCATTTATAATTAAATGATTGTGTCTCACAAAAAAATACTTGTTTTTTTTTTTTTTGTGGGACCTTATACCTTGGTATTTTAATCTAAAAACTAAACTGCTAAATCGATTTAGGTAAAATTTCTATGTGACCAATCTGTAAATATATCCTTTCAGGTAAAAAAAGATTTTTCCAAACTGGTCTACAACTGACGAAGTTATGAGGTAACAAACAAGATGTTCTTTGCAGCGATGTTTTTTTATCTCCTCAGGATATAAAATGTATTTTCCAAAGGAGATATATCGTTTATATATGAGTGGGCTACAGCCACAAATTAAGTGCTGCGGCGTTTCTTCCTCATTGTCACAAAATTACGACAGAACTTATGCCCAAAAAGTGTTTACAGACTTCTTTTTTTCTTTTCTTTAAAGGCAATTGGTCTTTATTTATATGACTAGTTCTACCAGCGTCAAGTATTTTCATTTTAGTTTCATTCTCCAGAATATCGCCATGTTTAATGTTTCCCGCCTTTTTCGACCACCATGTTACACATTCAACGATCATTATGTTGAATCAATAGAAATCTTTTTAACCAACGTCAATTACAATTACAGTAATAATAGTATTTTATGGGATTGTTAGTAATGGAGACTAAAAATCCCATTGCTAGCAATATACCCAACCAGGTCGACCTCCTCGCGGTTCCCCCTAGAAACTATCATGGTTAATTCCTAATGAATTCATCATGATGGGCTAACTGGCCTGTTTTCATTCTCATCTATCGCCCTTCACTGGTGCTCCGCCAGCGTATCCCATTAGCGCAGGCGGGGTTACCATTCCATTTTCATCCACCAAAAAAAAAATTATATATATATATATATATGTTATTGAATTTTATGTGATGCTAACTAGTATAAGATTATATAGAATTCAGTGACCTTTCTTTACTTCCAACAACTTGTCACCCAATCAATGTTTGCAGACTTTGTCACAAATTTTTATTTCAGTATCAAATACGAAAGCCAGATATCCGTAACAATACTAGCAAATTATAATTTTATTTATTTAAACTTTAATGCACAGTAAAATTCTATGTGGCGGACTCAACACCGGACAGTGTTCTCTACCAGTCAATCATTGGACAAATTCCAAATACCTATCGCGCAGACCAGCAGCTGTGTGAGCACTTGGACTAATTCATCCTCGGCTTCAGTGCTGCAGTCCGGTAGCAGCGCCATCTGCAGAGTATTGAGAGTGGGGAGCGACTCCATGTCTGTAATTTAACAAATTTATATAAATAACTTCATTGAGTAAAGGGCGGACTTAATGCTAGTAGCATCCTCTACTAGTCAACCTTTGAAATGAACAGTGAATCACGAACGCGGTACTTCATTATTGGGATAGGTAAAGAAAATAACAGTTAATAATGTATACCTATATACAATAATGTGAGCGGTTGCCAATCCGCCTGCCAAGCATGGCAACTACTGTCGAAACCCCTCAATTGGGGGAGGCCTATGTTCAGCAGTGGACAGTTAACAGCCGATATGGTGATGATGATATACTATAAATACACATAAATAATAAAAATATACACATAAATAACATAAAATGATGATTAAAATACACATATAATTATAACAAAACAAATTAATTTAATTTAAAAACATCTAATAATTAAAAAAAAAATCTAATAATGAAACAATTACACTAATTACGTAGTATACTCTGTTATGTCCATGGTACTGTTACCACTTTCCATCAGGTGGGCCGTCAGCTTGTTTGCCATTCTAAGTTGCATACTTACGTGCTTACTAAGGTGAGCAGTTAGCACTAGACATACAATAATTTGCCTGAAGTTGAAGATTGTCGCAAAAAGTGCGTGAACAAAATGGCAGCCGGAGATTGATGGCTAATATGGCAGATTGCCGTGTAGTTTTAGCATAGAATAGAACAGCAGCGCCCCTCTTAAAACATCACTAGAGCCTAACTGCGGTTGCCAATCCGCTTGCCAAGCGTGGCAACTACTGGCAAAATCACGATGGATCAATTGACCTTGTTTCATCGTCACCTGTCATCCCTCACTGGTGCCAGTGCATATCGTTAGCGCAGTCGGGGTTACCATTCCATTAGTGTCCATAAAAAAACCTACCCATGTACCAAATTTCATTGGAATTCATTCAGTAGTTTTTGCATGAAGGATTAATAGACATTCACTCATCCAGATATCCTTACAAATTTCCACGTCTATAATAGTTGGATTCACTCACCAAATCCTAATGTCTGTCCAAAGTTGTGTACAAACTCGAAAACTTGTAGTAAATCGGCCATGGCCTGTCCGGGGAGCTTCAGGCCGGGAATCCTGTTCAGGACCGGCAGCGGCTTCTGATCTGATAACGAGGAGTCTTCCTGCGGCCGCCTGGATGATAAATACAACGTTCAATGTAGTCTTATCCCTTTATTCATAAACCCATAAAACTTTTCATTAACCTATTTTAATTATTGAACGTTTTTTGTCTCTTTCTATTACGCTATTTTACCTGCTGTTATCCTATATTTACAAATTGATGCTATCGAAATTTTATCAAAATCGGTTCAGTCAGTGTTCAGTTATGCCATAATTTAAGCTTCGGCAACGCATACGTAACATCCCTGGTATTACAGACGTCAATAGGCTACGGTAACCCCGTTTATCATCAGACGAGCCGTATGCTTGTTTACCACCATGATAAAAAAAAATAAAGTAATTATTTTTTAAATAGATTCTGAAATTATCTTTAATAGGTACATATGTAGAATGAAGCTTATATTAACAAACACAGACGAACGCACCTCAACTCAGACAGCAGTTCCATCTCCTTCCGCCGCTGCTGTAGCTTCTTCTCTTTGGCGAGGAGACGGTCTAGGAGGTTCTGGTGCTTCCTCCTCTCGCGCTCCTCCCATCTCCTCCTCGAGTCCAGTTGCCGGATGAAGGTGGTATGTTGCCGCCGCCTCTCACGTTCCTAAAACAAATACAGATTTATATAAGTATTTTGTTACTTCATCCTTATTGATGATCCCTTATTGGTACCTATTCCTTGAAAGCCTTAGATTTCTTATAATCCGTTAATGAAACTGCAGTAATATTTTAACCCTCAAACAGGGGGACGGGATCGTTAGTAATGAGATCTAACAGATCGACCTTAACTGGTCGACCTCCACGCGGTTCCCCTTAGAAACCATTGTGGTTAATTTTTGATGAATTCATAACGATAGACCTGTTTCATCCTCACCTATCATTTAGGTCTGTCATTGTACCTCAGTGGTTCCCCGTCAGCGTATCCCGATAGCGCAGACGGGGTAACATTTCATTTTCATCCAAAAAAAAACCGTCATATACAGTTTTTTTTTTTCAATATTTCTGTGCCTATACTATCCACGTCGGATAAAACGGACAGAGAATCTGTCATATTAGTGTGAATTCTACATAGTATCTTCTTTATACCACGAAGATAGCAAACAAGCATACAGCGCGTCTGATGGTAAATGCTCACTATAGCGTATGGACGCCTACAAGACTAGAGATGTCCCCTGCGTGTTCATATCAACCATTAAATGCCCATTGCTGACCATAGGTCTTCCCCATTAAAGTTTTGCCAGTAGTTGCCAAACTTGGCAAGCAGATTGGCAACCGCAGTAAGGCTTTGGTGAGGTATACATACATACATACATGTCCATCACGTCTGTTTCTCATACCAAATCAGCCGTTAACTGATTACTGCTACATATGGACCCCATAAGGGAGAGTTTGCCAATAGTCGCTACGCTTGGTACGCAGTTTGGCAACTGCAGTAAGGCTTTCATGAAGTTTTTTTAAGAGGGACGCTGCTGCCTATTTTTTGTCAATTCAGTTCCCTTAATCCCCCCTCTTACAACACCCACGGGTAAAGAAGGGGTGGTCCATTCTATGCCGGGACCAGACGATTATTTTTAACTTATTAGTATCCAAAGCCCACACCATACCCGTCTACACTCGAGAGCAATGAATCCGGGTCACTTAGAAAAACCTATTGTATCAATCACGGAAAATATGCTAGCTTAATGAAATTGTTTAGTGGACATATGAATACATCTTAAATTAAGGTATTAAAACTTCATAGTTACTGCAAGGTTTTTCTCTTCTTTATTTATTTATTTCTTATTGCCTTCCATAATATACTTAGTAGATAACATTTCAATTATGGACCCTGTTGGGTACAGCAAGTACGAGAGAGGAGGACAACACTTTTTTCACTTTAGAAATACGAGTAGTCTAAGGATCTGTTACAATATTATCCAGTCATTGAAATTGTATCACGATAGCTACGTATTTTCTTACTATTATTTTTTAAATTTCACTAAAATTCTCATCTCCCCTCTTAAGGAGAGGAGATGGCAACTAACCCCCGGCAGAAGCACAGTCGGCCGGGGTTCAGGGCCCCAGGGAGAGAAACCGGCGTACAATGCGGGCAGAATCTAAGAGCACCGCTTTCTGCATCTTTCCCGGGAGTGAGCCGCCTCGGAATCCCAACCGTCTGAGATGTTGTTCCAGACTGGTTGGGATAAGACCGTTCACCGACATAACGATTGGGATGATTTCGGTAGATGTCACCCCCAACATTTCGGTCACCTCGTGAGCCAGGTCGAGATATTTTCTCTTCTTCTCGGTTTCGGCTTTCACGAGGTTCTCGTCATGCGGTATGGTGACATCCACCAAAAACACCCTCGAGAGTGCCCGATCCATCACCACGATATCAGGTTTGTTCGCAAGAACGGTCCTGTCCGTGATGATGGATCGGTCCCAGTAGAGCCTTACGCTGTCGCTTTCGAGGACCGGCTGGGGCTCGTACTTATAGTACGGCAACCTCTCATTATTATTTTTTAAATTTCACTAAAATTCTCATCTCCCCTCTTAAGGAGAGGAGATGGCAACTAACCCCCGGCAGAAGCACAGTCGGCCGGGGTTCAGGGCCCCAGGGAGAGAAACCGGCGTACAATGCGGGCAGAATCTCAATTTCATTATTATTATTATTATTATTCATTATTTAAGTATTGGTGTGTATCTATTCATATCGTAATTGTTATTAGTATTATATAGTTATTTAATATGTTCTGTATTTTATAATTATTTATATTCATATTGTAAAATTAATTAATAAATAGTTTAATAATAAAATTTTATAATAATTTTTCTTTAGTGACATTAACCCCGATATTAGGGTATTTTGCCTACTGCAAGGTTACGTCATAAAAAAAAATTAATTTAAAAAAGGAAGACTTTCGAATTTGGAACTACGAAATTACTGATTTGATTTCGCTCTTGTTTCTAATCTGTCATTTAAGTTTCCATGATTTATAGGTTTCTTAAGGTGACCCGCATTCGTTGCTCCTGAGTATACAATCTGTTATTATTATTTGTTATAAATATATGTAAAACTTAATAAAAATATAATCAAATTAATGACTAAATCGACCAGTAAGACGATCTGTTCATGTCCAATAGTAGTATAAATAAAAAATCGATTTATCGATTGAATCTTTCGATTTGTTACTAACATCATTTAGATAGTGTTCAATGGGATGACAATAGAGTGGCAAAGCGGGCAAATTACCACGGACTCCCGGCCTAAGAATTTCATTTCTTATTTCCATTTCCCCGGCCTAAAATGAAACAATAACTACGAGCATTTTTTTTAGATAAAGAATTCCTATCCAATAAATTTATTACGGACCTAGGATAGTATAGTTACGCCACGGTTTTTTTTTTTACCACTGAGGTGGCTAACAAGCTAACAAGCTCGCCTATTGCAGGCTTGTAGGCGTTCATACGCTACTATAATACTAGGGCATTGCCGACCCATAAGAAACCTCTTTATCCCTATTTGTGAAGAACTACATGCTGTAGTCTAATGGAAAAACCTCGAGATTATGCACTGTTTATTTATTTAAACTTTAAAGCACAGTAATATTCTATGTACATTTGGCGGACTTAACACCGGACGGTGTTCTCTACCAGTCAACCATTGGGCGAACAGGGAAATAAGTAGGCGGTGCATTATTGAATAGAGGAAATGTAAAGCAATACTTATTTATGTTGTTCTTTTAAATATATACTTAAGAATCTTGTAATCTAATATTTGTTTGTTAATTGTTTCTTCCCTGAAGAAACCTGAAGGCCTACCATGACATATTTTCCGAAATTTCGGAGCCTAACGAAACATACATTTGATGTTAAAATTACATGCTAAGCAGCATTTAACTGGTATGTGATCATTTAAAAATATTAAAAATGGTAAAATATAGATTTTTTTTTTAAAGATTTCGGTACGAACTAAAACACGAAATTGAGTCCGAAAATTCCGAATTTCATTTCATAGTAATCCCCCTGTTTATCCTTTTATTTTTATATTTATTATTTTTTATATTATTTATTTCTTGAAAAACCCTATGCCGGGGGATATGCCTAGGAGATTATTACCCATTAAAAAAAATGTATGTCTGAATTCATCAACATTTGATTACCTTTCATTAAGTTCTGTTATTTGAGATTATAAATACCATGCACTACCAGTACTGTTTAATACAAATAATATACTTTAACGTAAATACTAACGATTTAATTTACATGTAATTAGATCGTGAAAGCACAACTAGTTTTATGTGTATATTTTTGTTTACGATGCAATAAATAGTTTCGGTATCACTTTGTGACCCTTAATCATGAGCGGCTATGACGCTATGCACGAGTCTGTAATGATCTCGAAATTAATTGAGGTTTCTCGATATAATTACACGTAAGTTAAACCGGTAGTTATTACATTAAAATATCATGTGTCAATAAGTAGTATAAGTATAAAATATCTATACTACTTATTGAAGCTAAAATCATTAGAGAGAGAAATTACCTCAGTAATATACTTTTGCTGTGACCACCGCGAACATTCCAGATGGCGATTGGAAAAGAAAACGGACACAAATGTACAGACAGTTACACAATATACTTACTAATCTACACTTATAGATAGATAGATAGATAGATACTCTTTATTGTTCCCTCCAAAAGATTACAATAGTAAACTTATTATAGATACAAAAATAATTACAAGAAATAATAACACTTATATTAACAAAGTGGAAAGATTTGATTGTTTGATTTGTAATGGATAAACTCAAAATCATCATCATGGGTTCATCACCAAGAGATCATGGGCGAAACAGTATACTCTGTTATGTCCATGGTACTGCTCATGTGTATAGGCGACGGTTACCACTTTCCATCAGGTGGGCCGTCAGCTTGTTTGCCATACTAAGTTGCATAAAAAAATCCAAAGTTGGGGGTCAAAATAATGTAATAGTAAGTATATATATTTAAATAGTATTACATATATTATTTACATATATCATACATGTACAAATTAAACAAGTTTTTTAAGTCTTCATAAAAAATATGGGTTTTTATTCTCAATTCGTCTGTAACTTTTTTGTATTTTATATACGTAGCGATATTTTGACGGTTGCAAATATATATGTATGTCAAGTAATGTATTAAACACTCTTGATTGTACTATTTTAAACTTTATTAAATTAAATATTTGATACTTTCGATAAATTATCTAATTTATGAATATACTTCTATAATCATCATTATGAAAAAAAAAAACATTTTTTTTATGAATTTTTACAAATTCTATTATTACCTTTAAAATGAAACTGACCGGGTATCGAACTCGAGATGCGAAATCCAAACCTCATCCTGCTTATAGGCAATCTCACGAATGCACTCTCCACAAATATATTTTAATTACAAAGGAATATTTACAATAAAACGTGTTAGAAAGTAAAGTATTGTTAATTACTATACACACTGCGTTTAGAACAGAGGAAAACATAGTCTCACAAACTACACATTCACACACACACACACACACACATACAATCAAGGGATCTACCATGAAATGAAATTCCGAATTTTCGAGTTTAATCTCTAACTTTCTCTACGGTCGACTGGTAGATAAGGTCATATAATTTATGTGCATAAATACAAGTATGATTGAAATTTTTACAGCTATATTTACAGCTATATAGGTTACAATTTAAAACAATCTTTGTGAGAGAATGGTATCGGTACTAGGATAACCCGTCTTACAGATCACCAGGCTCCCAAACTCAAGGACATCTATTTTATTTAATTTGTAAAGGTAAGAGTATACAAGTTAATAAATGAAATAAAAAAAAATTATAATCTACGTGTATGTACTAGTATGGGTGAGAGAGTAAGTGAAAGTTGAGCGAGTGCGTGTTAGTAGGTGCATGAATGTATATAGTTTTAAGTCCGCCATTTACAGTTTCTAAGTGTATTAAAGTTTAATAAATAAATAAATTGTGTTTTTGTTCGTACCGAATTTGGTGCAGTAAATGGAGCCTTAACATTTAATTCATCATAAGTAATGTAGTTTAAACATCAAACTTTTGTTTCGTTCAGTTTCGAAATTTCGGAAAACATTTCATGGTACGCCCTCAAGTTATAAGTTAGAACAGAAAAACCAACGTTCTAGGAAATTCCATATCATATTTGTATTTACACTAGATATCCTTACAATTACTATAAATGTGAAAGTGAGATTATTTATTACCCTTTATTTCCTAAACGGCTTAACCAATCACTATGAAATTCGGTATACACGTACTATATGGGATGGAGAAGGATATAAACTACACGGTCACGCGGACGAAGTCGCGGATAAAAACTAGTTAACAAATAATTGTTAAAATATATATACTATCAGTTGGCTGTTAGCTTGTTTGCTATTATACATTGCATAAAAGATCCGATATTTTTAGAATGTGGGTCGTTCTGTCCTACCTAGTATATACAAGATAAAAACACGCACGCACGCACGAATGCACGCACGCAAGCATGCATGCACGCACACACACACACACACACATCAATAATGTTTGAATCATTCCGTGATAAGTACCTGTTCCTTTAACAGCATTGCCTGTTGTCGCTTTATTTCTCTTTCCTGAAACAAAAATCAATCAATCAGTCAATCAAATATTTTATTTGCTGAATATGTTTCATAAAGATGGTGCATAATTGATAATTAAGATTGTGTTCCAAAAAAAAAACTAACTTCAATTTTAGCGCAACAGCGACACCTCAGTTGTACAACGTTTGGTTACGATCCGGAGATCCTAGAATGTCAGGCTAAACATTTGTATTTTAAAATTCATGCTTGAATCATTTATAATTGGAGATTATTTACCACAAAAAAAAAAAACAACAGTTATTTTAATTTAAAAACTAAACTATTGAAGCTACATATTTAGATGAAACTTCTATAAGACCCATTTGTAAGTATATACTTTTAGGTAAAAAATAATTTCCCAAATCGGTTTATAACTGACGGACTTATGAGATAACAAACATAAAAAAAATTCAATCGAATGGAGAACCTCCTTTTTGAAGTAAGTTTTTTTTTTTGCAACACAATTTTCAATTAAATTCAATAATTACTTAACCAATTTTAAAAATGATTTCACCTATAGAAAGCTACATTATCATCTAGTAAAATAAGCTATATATTATTAAAAAAAATACAGAAATGAGAAAAAATTGTCTATGGAAATAATTATTTGGGCGTGCGCTACAAAAACTATTATACTAAAAATTATGTAATATATGTTTATAATAGTTATAATTACCTGGAAAAAAAAAAGGTCAGCAAAGCCATAAACATATAAAGCTTTGTATAGTATAGTAGGTTATTGTGATTTAACTATAATAGTTACATAACATAGCCGTGTGGTCCCGGCATAGAATAGGCTACCCCTTTTTCCCGTGGGTGTCGTAAAAGTTGACTATAGGACGGCGAGGGATGGGCAGCAGCGTTCCTCTTAAAACATCTACAAACTGACTGCAGTTGCCAATCTGCCTGTCAAGCGAGGCAACTACTGGAAAAACCCTCCCAAGGGGGAGTCTTATGTTCAGCAGCGGACGGTTAAGGGCTGGTATAATAATGATGAAGTTTGAATTACTTTTTTTTTATACACCTTAGAATGGCAAACAAGCTGACGGCCCACCTGATGGAAAGTGGTAACCGTCGCCTATAGACACGAGCAGTACCATGGACATAATAGAGTATACTGTTTCGCCCATGATACCCCCCATGCGTTGCCATTCCTCAGGACTCAGGTGTTATTCCTCTGTACCCAGTAAATTCACGCCATATCCCACCCTTCAAACCGAAACACAGCCATGCAAACATAACTGATACACGGTAGAAACACGAATGGGACAGAGGTACCCAAGCAATCGACTTTTGTACAGTCTCCCTCTGGTACATTACATAACATTATACACACACATTACATAACTATTATAGTTAAACCACAATATCGTACTACTACTTTTGTAATAGTAACAAATTTTTTTTTTATTCCAAAAGACTATTATTATTGTTATTATCTACTACATTACGTAATTACGTCACCAATTTTGAACCTTCGTCCATACAATTTATTCCAGTTTTTTTTTTCGTGAAACTTTTTTAATGTATTTTAAATTATATATTTACGTTCGGAATTTACATACTTAATGGTTAAACATTGATAATAAAAATCAAATAGTAGTTGCGTTAAGTCCCGATCGTGAAAGTTTTTTTTTATGTACATAATAAGAAAACAAAAAAAAAAAAATTACGGTCCTATTTTTTTCTTTTTTTGTTTGTTGTAATGAACTGGCTTACGATAATTAAAAATAAAAAAGTAAACCCTCTCGCTACAAACCTGCTGCCGTTTCGCTTGTTCCTCTATTCTTTGTCTTTCTACCTCTTCCTGTTTTCTCTTCTTAGCCTTCATTACATACGTGCGAACAACATTGAAAGCGGTACAGCAAATTATAAAAACAGCAAACATGAAACAAGAAATGAAAATGTTTAAGATTGTGAACAAAAAAAAAGCGGTGAATTTACATAATTAAATAATGTTAATATATTTGGAAAATAAAAATTAAGCCGCCATTTATGAAGTGAGAAATATAAATAATTATTAATTTTTTTCTTTTTAGTAAACATTAGTGTCAATTCTGTAATTTTAAAAATTGATTATACTAATAAATAGCTTATACTCTGCACGTTATAGTATGGTGCGAATGACAGTTGACATTTTAACAGCTTTTGCTACAAAAGAACTGCCCCTTAGACACGTAAACGAATCCATCGACAAACTCGTTATTGCAAATTAGATTTTTTTTTATAAAGCTTGACATGTGCCTACACTGGCTGTGCTAACTCAGGGACGATATGGTCTATGACTGAGATCAATTTTACCAGAGGGAGACTTTGTACAAAAGTCGATTGCTTGGGTACCTCAGTACCATTCGTGTTTCAACCGTGAAGCAGTTGTGTTTGCATGGCTGTGTTTCGGTTTGAAGGGTGGGATATGGCGTGAATTTACTGGGTACAGAGGAATAACACCTGAGTTCTCAGGAATGACAACGCATGGGTGGTATCATGGGCGAAACAGTATACTCTGTTATGTCCATGGTACTGCTTATGTCTGTAGGCGACGGTTACCACTTTCCATCAGGTGGGCCGTCAGCTTGTTTGACATTCTAAGTGGTATAAAAAAAAGGAATATTCTACTCTCAATTGGCCATAATATACCGGGTTACTAAGTACTTTTTCACGCTTTGAAGGATCTGAGATTATTAATATAAGGGAATTCATGAAATAGAATGAAATAGTGATGTAGTATGTCTTATTCTTCCTTGCGTGGACACTGCCTGAAACGATTCTATCATTAATTTTCGTTTCGTTTACCACTTATCTTTGGGACTGAATTTATTCAGATTTTTAGAGTTAGCATCAATCTAATAATCATAAATGATATTTTCTTATTATTAAATGTTTTATTGAATGCGTAAGTTTCATTTAAGTATTTTTTTTATACAACTTAGAATGGCAAACAAGCTGACGGCCCACCTGATGGAAAGTGGTAACCGTCGCCTATAGACATGAGCAGTATCATGGACATATTTTAAATGACCTGTCACTCGCATCATACAAAACTCGCAGAATTATAAGTGCCAACTTTATTGATACGAATTCAGTACATAATAATAAATTGACATTAATTATATTTAATTTTTTTATGTCAATTACTTACGTCAATTTAGTAAGTACAATAACATCACCATTGGCCATGAGATAACATCGCCAAACTTGAACCGATTTTAACATTTCTTTTTGTAATTAATTGTGTTGGCCCTATATTAATGTTATGGCGAGTACAATTGTCATTTTTCTTTACGTAGCAAAAAATATTTGCTTTTCGTGAAGCAACATTTATACAAAATACATTATGTCAAAATAATAGTAACAAAAAATAGGTTATATATAAAAAATAAAAAAAATATAGCATATATAAAACTAAAATTAGTATTACATACGAGCAATTTAATATTAATATAATATTTAGGAATATAGCAAGTATAGTAATAATCGAGATTAATCATATGGTGATGTAAAGTGCTGCCCCCTTTTCCGTTCCGTGGTAACTAAATGCATATAGCTATATAACGCGGCGTTATATTTATTACGCATGATACATTTACAGCATATTATTTAGCAATGTCGCGTGCCCTACGAGTTCGTGCTCAAGTGATGTAGTTAATGAACCATAGACAATATATTAGTTAAGACCATAGAGTTGTGTTAGTGAAACCCGAAAGTTAGTATAATTGCTCAATTCTCCAACATACCGAATTGCCGAACGGATGGACCGATATCGATAAAGCTCCATCTTTGCCGATATTGAACGTGCCTTTGCTTATTTTTTTCGATATTATATCATTCAATATGTTGTCATCGTCCTCGCTTAAGTCGATCACTTCTTTGAGGACGGACTTGTGATTCTCTTTAGGCATCAAACTCAGGTTTTGTGACATGAATTCGTTTTTGGCATCCAAATATTTCTGCTCCAATGATTTGGGGTCCTCGCTTTTTTTGTCCGCTTGAAATTTCGACCAATCGCAACCATTCATAAACTCGCTGATCCGCGAGTACGATTCTATGAGTTTCTCCAAATTGTTCTCTTTGTCCTGGGCCTTAGGTCGTGTTTCGTTCGTTCTCATCAGGGTAAAGTCGTAATACTTGTCACTGGCCGGTTTCGGTAAGTCGAACGCGGCTTTCTCGGCGAAATCCTTCATTTTATCCAAAGCGTTGTATTCTTCGTTCTCTTTCCACGTGGTTTCGAAGTTGAGAGCTTTGATGGGCGAATTCTGGGTATCTTTAGGCCCAACTGGTATAAGGGACAAACTAATGGGCGGCATCACTCGATCCTTATTCGATTTGGCTGGTCCCATCACTACATCTGGTACCTTCCAATCGGCATTACCGATTTTGTGTGCCGCCGGCAACGGCTCGATGGTCAGCTGCGATCGATTCTTGTTGATATGCTGTCATAATCGATTTATTATTTTCGATATCAAGCCGGGGGTTTATTATCAATTGGATTGTTGACAACATTGTCAATTTTCCCCATATTATTATAATTTTTTTTTGTTAGAACTCAGCCCATAGATTTACATAAATAGATAGAGAAAGTATACTATTATATAGATGTACTAAGACACACAGTAACTACTAACTAAAAGCGTAGAGTTTGCCGTCTAAAAAAAAAAGCAAAAAGTGACCAAGATTCGTACTAAATTATCCTAAATATAAGGTTCTTTTTGCTTTTGAAGGAGCTACGTATGTGAACACAATGTTGCCAAGCATCAAATTGATAATAAAATAATAAACACAAGCAAATGGTTTAAACACATAGATATAGAATAAAAAAGAAATGGTAGGTCCCATATTCGAAATCATACAAATCTGAATTATACATTGATATCTTTAATATATATATATGTATTGTATGCAACAAGTACAAACTATTTTTTTTTGTTACAGTTTATTTACAACGAATTTCAATTTTTCACCGCATAATTACATTCTGTTTTGCCGCAGGTTGACTGCGAGAGAATGTTATATGGCATTAAGTCCGCCTTTTGTACCAGACATTTTTTTGAAATGTGATCAACAAAGAATAAATAAATAAAATCGCTGCACGTGTCCGTCCATTTCTTCCGCTTACTATTAAACCATGTAACGGATTTTGAAATGAGTTTCACTGTCATTTAGATACATTTTTATGGAAGATTTATGTTTTTTTTTTTTTTTAATACCACAAAGGTGGCAAACAAGCGTACAGCCCGTTTGTTCGTAAACGATCACTGTAGCCTATGGACGCTTGCAACACTAGGGGTGTCACGTGCGCGTTGCTGACAATATATAGTAATTAAACTTATGTGAACATAGATAAATTCAGTATCTTTCAATAACTTGTGCCCGTGCAAAGCCAGGGCGAATCACTAGCAAATATTGAATGCTTATCGTTGATAAGGACATGACTTGAGAACGCGTGGAACAATTTGATTCTGAAACGACTCTCAAAGAAAGGAGATTCTCAATTCGTAGCTATTTTTGTTTGAATGTATACATGTTTTAAATGTAGACACATTAAGAAATAAATTGCCTGCCAAGCGTGGCAACTACTGGTAAATTCACCTAAGGGGGAGGCCTATGTTCAACCATGGATAGTTAATGGCTGATACAATAATGATTCTACAAAATATCTCGTTGTTTAGCGACGTGTTTGTTTGCATAAGCTATGTTATACATTCACATTTAATATATATATATATATATATATATATATATATATATATATATATATATATATATATATATATATATATATATATATATATATATATATATATATAAATCAAGGTACGCAAGCGGACTTATCCCTTAAAAAGAGTCACGATTCCTGACACTGTTTAAAATATATTTGTTTGCAGAAGAAAATTACATTCTTCTCACACTTAAGATATTTTATTTTTATTTTTAATAATATGGGAGCTACCATACAATTAATACAAACATACCTATATAAAGATACCCTGTTTGAAAAACGCCCAATACATATATGATTACAATGAAATATCACCTCTAAAAGCTGCTGACTCCTGGCCTCTTTCTCTCGTTTGGCCATTTCCGCTTTTTCGGTCCTCTCTAGCTCTCTGACTAGTCTCGCCTGTGGTGAAAATGCATTTATTGTAGTTATTGTGTAATTAAACAAGTTAGTCACACAAAAAGAAATAGTTTTTAAATAACTAATAGGTTTATTAATCAGTTTGTATTTTTAATAGAAGAAGGTTCTTAAATCTGATATTGACATTTCATAAAAAGGAAACCAACTATAGTTGTAGCAAAACCAGCTATTTTGATTTAATAACTAAACTACTGAATCGGTTTTGATAAAATTTCTTTAGATTAATTTGTAAGGATATACCTTTCAGATAAAAAAAAAAAGAATTCTCAAAATCGGTTTGGAATTGACCAAGTTTCCAGGTAACAAACATAGAAAACACAACTAAATTGAGAACCTCCTTTTTTTGAAGTCGGTTAAAGGTACAAGAGAATCTTTCTTTTCGAAGGCAGGTTAAAGACATCTAGAAGGCGACGTAGTAAGCCAAGAAATATAACATTAAGATAATAAAAATTCATTAGCAAGAGTTTCAAATGATAGTGGAGGTAATAAAAATGTCAGGGGGAAAGGGATTGTTAGTAATGGAGACTGAGAACCCCATTGCTAGCAATATACCCAACCAGGTCGACCTCCACGCGGTTCCCCCTGGAAACTATCATGGTTAATTCCTGATGAGTTCATCATGATGGGCTAACTGGCCTGTTTTCATCCTCATCTATCACCCTTCACTGGTGCTCCGCCAGCGTATCCCGTTAGCGCAGGCGGGGTTACCATACCATTTTCACCAGTCAAAAAAAAAAATGTCAAGGCGGGGCCTGACAAACCTGGTCGCGGTCGCGGGCGCAGGCGTCGCGGCGCGCGTGGCGGGCGGCCTGCTGGCGCCGCGCCAGCTCGATGCGGCGGTCCACCGGCGGCGGCGTCGGCCGCCCGCCCAGCGCCGCCAGCGACCGCGCCTCCTCCAGCCTGGTTACCACAGAAACATGGCCCAATGTTACGAGTAGCAACACAAAAAGACCTATACACTTTTTTTTATACAACTTAGAATGACAAACAAGTTGACGGCCCACCTGATGGAAAGTGGTAACCGTCGGCTATAGACATGAGCAGTACCATGGACATAACAGAGTATACTGTTTCGCCCATGATACCCCCCATGCGTTGCCATTTCTGAGGACTCAGGTGTTATTCTTCTGTACCCTGTAAATTCACGCCATATCCCACCCTTCAACTATAGAGATATCTTCTCTCTCTTTGTCCACTTCATTACTGAAGGTCGTGTCCTTGAAAGGTGTCTCCTTGTGTGTGTGTTACCTCTCTTATATCGGGATATAACGCGATAAAAAATGTTTGTAAGTAAATAGTACTTACATACCTGCTTCTTTATTGCCGAGGTTTCGACGTGGATTGCACCACGTAGTGGTCACGACAGGACCAAAGCAATACAGAAGCAGGTATGTATGTATCCATTAAGTCCCAATAGTATATTTAAAATATGGATAAACAACGCGAAAATTCAAACAGACTTATTTACAAGCACTTTTAAATCGTCATCTTTTTTAAAATCTATTGCAGGGTTCAGAAAGATGTTATCCGTTGAGAAGAACCAGCAAGAAACTCAACAGTTGCTCTTTTAAATCTCTGTCAATCTGTCAATACGTAAATATATGTATATGTAAGTGATACAATATCTATGATCAATACCTTTCCTAATAAAAAAAAAAATTGCAAGGACTTCAAACAAATTACCTATAAATTTCAACTATACTTAAAAACATAGTTTATTATACCATCTGAGAGAGTAGTCATATCTCCAGATCCGTTTAACACAAATAATGGACATAAGACACTTGATTGTCTCTGCCTACCCCATAAAGGTATGAGAATGCATAACCCTTATTCATAAAATAGTGTGTTTTATAAATAAGGGGGATGGAATTTCTTTTTTATACCACGAAGGTAGCAAATAAGCATATACCCCGTCTGATAGTAAATAATACTGTAGCCTATGGATGTCTGCAGCACAAGAGGTGTCACGTGCGCGTTGCTGACTTTTTTTACATTATTATTTTTTATTTAGAATGTTGTGACGGTAACCTCTTGGTGATCTCGGTCTCGTTGAAGAGCAGTGGCTCCTGATCGGGCGAGGCTGGTGGCTGCACGTACTCTCCCAGAACATGACGAGCGCTGAAGCTGAAGTTGTCCGCAGACAGCGGCGGGCACGGACGAGCCTCGAGGAACTGCACATAAATAAACACAATGCGATAAATAAAGGGTACAATTGAAATTGAAACCTAGTCCACTTGAAACTAGGAAACTATCCATATATATTTTATAAATGGATGATAATAGAATGGTCGCCTGCACTATCGGTATAAATTGACGGGGCACCATTAAGAAATGATAGGTGAGGACAGATTAGTCCTATAAAATTTTTATCAAAAATTAGTTATATAATTTAGTTTAAAGCAAAATAACCGATTCTGGTCAGCGATTATGATCAAGAAGTCATATGTAATGTTTTGATAGTAACACAATGCAATTTACCGCTTGCAACTCCTGCATGTTCTTGATGTGCAACGATGCGTGCGGCTCGGGCGGGGAGTAGCTGACGTCGCCTTTGATGTTGCAGTTACGGGAGAGACCCTTGATCACAGTCACGCGCTTCCAGCCTGAGAAGTATATAAATCAAAATTAATAAATAATAATTATAAATATGTTCAATGGTATAAATATAAATAAATAAATATATGGCTCTGTAGCCATCTATTTATTTATTTATTGTCAAGAAAACTGTCAACTTAAGAAGGTTGACAGTTTCCTTGACAATTTGCTCCTTTAGCATTCACAGTATATATAAACAGAAGACACCACGCCGGCATACACAGACCACAGACCGGCTGCAAACCCAGTGACCCAGAAGTCGTCGCCACCGGAGTAGAAGCCGGGGTAATGGGGTACGCCCCGAGGCCCCTACTTCGCCCGCCCACACATCATTCGGCGGGCAAGAGAAGACCATGTTGTTGTTGTTATATACAAACATCATCCTTAGCATATTTATAAGGGCAATATAAATCAAAACAATGACTTTTAGAAAATTTCTTCGTTTATCTGCCTGTATATTTGTGGTAGCAAAATCTATTGCATCGAATTGAACTGGCTTTTCACAGTTGTTTTGCAGAAGGTCTAAATTAAAATCTGATATATGTTTTATGTGGTCATGTGGATTTGAATAGGTGTATATGGAGTACAGTACTAACCGAGCGCGAGCGGCAGACGTAGCTGAGCGTCGTGCGGGCGGCGGCCGGCGTCGCTGGCGTCCGAGTCGGACGGGCAGCTGTCCGACGGACACTCCGAGTCTGTGCTAGCGCTCTCGCCCAGCAGCGCCTTCAGCTTCTCCTGCACACCCAACACACGCTCTTACCGCGGACACGGACATCCCACATACCCCACCCCAGACACAGGGACTGTTAGTGATAAGGATTACAAGTCCCATTGTTAGCAATGTAAATAAGGAGATATCCTCCTTATTAATTTCACTTAATTAATGTCATTATCATCATATCAGCTCCCCCTATCGGAGGGTTTTGCCATGCTTAGAAGGCGGATTGGTAACCGTAGTAAAATTTTAGAAATATTTTAAGACTGATGCTGCTATCCATCCCTCGCCCTCCCTTAGTCGCCTTCTACGACACCCATGTGAAAGCAAGGGGGGCCTATTGTATACTGGGACCACACGGGAAAATGTATGATTTTTTAATGTAAATAACGATATATAATTAACTTACATGTAAAATATGCAAAATTTTATTAAGAAGAAGATTTAGACCACTAACTTTTATGTATATTCTAAAAGCCACAATAGATCCGTGCTTGACTAAAGCCTGGCCATTTACGGAGCCCACAAGAAGCTTTTACCACCCGTCACTCTATGTCTAATCCACAAAGGAGCATTTTCACTAGGTTTTTATCTTACCAAGTCAGTCTCGCCGAGCAGCTGCTGCGCGAGCGCAGGCCGGAGCCCTAGGGCTCTGCTTTGGGCCAATAATGAGGCGACGGTGTTCTTCTTTGGCTTGCTCACCCCCCGCCCGAGATTACGAGGCCTACCTTCCCGGTTCGGCCACGCTGGGACAGCTAAAACCATAAGAAATGATAATGAAATGGGGAGTAAAAAAATAGATTTACGTTACTAAAATTACAAATGTGAAAGTTTTGTAAAATTCGACATCATACAAAATTACTGCACCAAATTGGATGCGGTCACTGTTCTGTTCCTGAAGGTATAATTTGTAATGGGGTATATGCTTTTTTTCATACTACTCAGAATGACGAACAAGCTGACGGCCCACCTGATGGAAAGTGGTAACCGTCGCCTATAGACATGAGCAGTACCATGGTTATAACAGAGTACACTGTTTCACCCATGCGTTGCCATTACTGAGAACTCAGGTATTATTCCTCTGTACCCTGTAAATTCACTGCCATATCCCACTCTTCAAACCAAAACACAGCCATGCAAACACAACTGCTTCACGGTAGAAACACAAATGGGACAGAGGTAACCAAGCAGACGACTTTTGTACAAAGTCTCCCTCTGGTTTATCTTGAGACGCCCTTTATAAGTGACATATTTTGTCGGTTTTTCTTACTTCTAAAATCCACACGTAAAACGTAGTTGAATTCGAGGTAATATATAAATAAATATCACATACACTCGCTGTCTTCGCTGCCGCTGGACTTGGGCCGCGGCGAGTCTGCCGGCTGAGAGCTCAGTTCTGGAGCGACCCGTCGGGGCTTCGCGCCCGGCTTCCGGCGAGCTGCACACGAGAAATGTTCAACTATACCTTACTTCGAACACTTCATACAAAAACGCCACGAATTGTGCCTGTCACGACTACATACACAAGTAATGTCTGTACATGTGACAACGTGTGCGTGTGTAGTTAGCGTTAGTGCGTAAAATAGTTTATATGTTCGCGTGTTTGAGAGGGGGTGAGGCAGCAGGCGGCAGGGAATATCCGTACTGTACTTCAGAACTATTACTTATACCGTAAAGTTTTTTTTTTTATTTATATATATATTTCCTCTCTCTCCATGAAAAAGGACTAAGACATGTCTTTGTGAGACTTCGCTAGCATTCAAGGGTGGACATCGGCAGTTTCGAAATACGTTGTGATTACACATGAGTTGCCAGCCCAAAGGATTTTCAGGAGGTTTTAAGTATTACCCTGTAATATTACTACCATATTTCATCTTTGAGACCGAATCATGAACTATGGTATATTCTATAGGCATGTTAATTTTTTGTAAACAATTATTGCTAAATAAGAATGATATCATTATACTAACATATCCTGTCGTTGCTCCCAGTCGCGTTGAGGGAACTACTCAGTGAAGTTAACCGCGAGAGGGCGTCCGATGCTTGTGTGCTCGCTGTAAATAACATTTTTATGATTTTTTCCAATTCTTTACTTTGAACACTGATTAAACCCCACAGTTGCCTCTTAAGACTGTTTGTTTGCAATGGGTTCTAGTAAGCCCATAAATAGCAATACATCTCAAGTCGACATCTTGGGGGATTGTCAGTAATAGGGATGTAATAGCTCCATTGCTAGATAGACCCTATTAGGTCAACCTCCACTGTTCCTCCTGGAAACTATCGTGGTTAGTTCTTGTTGAATTCGTCACGATGTGCTAACTGACCTGCTTTCATCTTCATCTATCATCCCTCACTGGTGCCCCGCCAGCATAGAAAGGGTTTTTTTTTTATACAACTTAGAATAGTAAACAAGCTGACGGCCCACCTGATGGAAAGTGGTAACCGTCGCCTATAGACATGAGCAGTACCATGGACATAACTGAGTACACTGATTCGCCCATGATACCCCCATGCGTTGCCATTCCTGAGGACTCAGGTGTTATTCCTCTGTACCCAGTAAATTCACGCCATATCCCGTCCTTCAAACCGAAACACAGCCATGCAAACACAGCTGCTTTACGGTTGAAACACGAATGGGACAGAGGTACCCAAGCAATCGACTTTTGTACAAAGTCTCCCTCTGGTTCAGTTCTTGCTGAATTCGTCAAAATGTGCCAACTGACCTGTTTTCATCTTCATCTATCATCCCTCACTGGTGCCCCGCCAGAATAGAGAGAGTTACCACTTTATTATTACCCATAAAACTTCTATGTGGTCTTTCTGAAAAGGACCGCGGTTAATTCATCACAATAAGTCAGCTAACGACTTCATCTTCACCTATCATCACTCACTGCTGTTTGAAACGAAATTAAAGCATAATATAGACATAACTTTAGAGACATAGAGACCCCACTCCAAAGGCTACCTTTTGTTCTGATCAATCAACACTCTCCAGGCATGAAGGCATGAGTAAAAATTAGTACAACATACGCGGTGTAGGCTTGAGTGAAAGATTGAGAGGCGCATCGTCGTCCCCACTCTTGACGCCGAGGTCGAGTGGGCTGTCGTCCGCGCCCGCCCCACTCGCCCCAGTAGTCCCACTAGCTCCACTCGCCCCACCAGACTTCGTACTTAGATTTAGGCCCGAATCTGTAATAATAATTGATAATTATCAATGGATAATAGCGAGAACAGGTTTCTTGTTGTACATTATTTAATTTCTTTATTTCAGACATTTTGAGTCCATATTTTGTTAGTAGATATACTTAAAAACTATGTTAATACTTAATTACTAATAATGTTCTAGTTCTCTCGGCGAGCATTCTCACTAGAGGACTATCTAATTTTTTTACAAACATGTTCAGGATACTGTTGCTACTTCCGCGTATTCTAAGAACGGAACTGTCTTTTTACGCCAGACTGCGTCAAAACCACTGTGTTTCGGCAAACATCGCTGAGGCATTACAGAAGCGCGTAGAGAAATTATAGGTTACGGAAAAGTAAGGGATTAGTCCTCAACTGCTTATGGGACCTATGGGAATGGGGTGGGAAGTGCTGTGGGTGTCATTGTTTTATGTGACGCCCATGGAACTGTTTCTGTCTACAGGCAAGAGTCTACACTTTCTATCAGGTGGGCTGTCAGCTAGGCAAGAGTAATATCAGTACCGCCTCGCTTCCGAATTGAAATGAAAGCTATCTGACCGGTATGGGCGATATCGAAACGGGTGATGACCTTTATTTCTGCCATCAGTGTCCAGCAAAACCCAATATATAGATAATGGAACAGTATCCATAATAGCCCATGTCTAACAGAAACGTGAGTGAGACAGGGTTCCCCGAGCAGATGGCTTATGTAGTTTCCTTCGGTGTAAAACTATTTTAACGGCAGCTGACCTGAGGGAGCAGTAGACCCAGCGAGCTGTCTCTCGAGCGCGGCCAGACTCACTCCGCTCTGACTAGCTATGGTCTGCAGCAGCTCCCGGGATATGCCTGAATGTAACGAGAACAACAGAGGTGAAATTAAACAAGTACATTTCTTTGTTTAAACATATGTTATTAATTCTTTTACTACTTTACAATACATCCTCATCTCAGCCATTATCTATCGACTGCTAAAGATAGGCGTTCCCTACAGACTGCCATAAGGAATGGTCCTGAGCCTCTGACTCCCTGCAATGTATTTGGGGTCGTCACTCCATGTAGTGCGGGAGAGGGGGGTCGCTTCCACTATGTTTGCCCATACGGAGTCGTCACTCGAGAACCTTTCTTCTCCATCAATTAAATATAATTTTGTTTACCCGCATAGTCTGAGAGGTTGGGCGGCGGAGTTCCCGACAGCGAGTTGTGACCGCCACGTTCCGGCTTGTTGGGAAGCCGGATCACCTCCACCGACGACCGCGAGTTACCGTACTCGTCCTGTAATCAATATATAGTTATATCATATATATTTTTTATGCAACTTAGAATGGCAAACAAGCTGACGGCCCACCTGGTAGAAAGTGGTAACCGTCGCTTATATATATGAGCAGTACCATGGACATAACAAAGTATACTGTTTCGCCCATGATACTTTACATGCGTTGCCATTCCTGAGGGCTCAGGTGTTATTCCTCTGTACCCTGTAAATTCATTGCTATATCCCATCCTTCAAACCGAAACATAGCCATGCAAACACAACTGCTTCACGGCAGAAACACGAATGGGACAGAGGTGCCCAAGCAAACGACTTTTGTACAAAGTCTCCCTCTGGCAATATGATTGGTAATGGTTTGTTATATACATATGTTATAATGCATAATGTTGGTATTTCTAATCGTAATTCCTCTTGTACAAATCCTCACCCCTGTTTATATGTATATGTATGTAGTGACGTCACTCACCACTTTCTGCCTTTTACTGGGGTGCGTGGTCCGGTCAGGCGCTGTGGACGACGAGGCGGATGGATGCAGCGACACGTGCGGCGGATCCAGAGAGATCGTCTTCTTGCGACCGCGGGTCGTCGACCCCGGCGTTGACTGAAACAACACTGACACATTAGAATATGGAACTATTCACTACTAGTTCTATCACGCCATTTGACTCCCTTCAATTAGGACAAAACTGGTAAAATTATGTATAACTTACGTTATACTAGAGATTCGCCTTCGACTTTGCATAGGTAGATAGCTCTTATTAAGACATGTCATATACATATATTTTTATCTTATATATTTATCACTGTTTTATATATTACTCTTATATATTTATACATAACATCTATTGCACACATGTGTCCGTGAGTTACGTATTTAGGGCCCACTGAAAATCAGTGTCGTAGCTTCAGATTTGTAACTGCGACATATGCTGAGTTAGGTCCTTTGCACAAACACTGCTACATTCATTTTGTTTTTTATATGTTTTTCTTTTAAATTTCAATTAAAAGTAAAATAGTAATGTTATTATATAATTGTGTAATCTTCATTATTATGTTGTTTTGTTATATTTAATATGTATAATTTATATTATTTTTCTTAAAGAGCGATTGTATTTAACCAATGATATTATTTAAATGAAAAGTTTGTTTAGTGTATGTGTAAATAAATAGATAGATAGATAGATAGATAGACAACTTTATTTGCATTACTTACAGCACACAAATTACAACATACACAAAAAAAAGCGATATAACATAAATGGCAAAAAAATACATAAAACCAAATGCAACTTTCGTTTGTGAGTGTGCCATAGCATAGCAAATAAATATATTTAAAAACATCCCATGTACAGACATCATCTAGTTAGAATTTTATTAAATTAGAAATAAGAAAAACAAAGATTATCTATTCAGTGCATGGTTAAAGTGCAAAAAAGTCATATACGGTCTTACCTTGGGTCCTGCAAGTGATGAAGTGTATTTAATGATCTCGGTGTCTGGTGGAAGTCGCACTCCGCCTAGCACGGACGCTGGGTCGCTGCAATGGAATTTATTTATTTAATACGTATTTATAGTATAATCTAAGACTTATAGGTCATCATCATCATCATCGTTTCAGCCAGTATTAGCCCACTGCTGGACATAGGCTTCCCCCATAAACTGTCATAAGGAACGGCACCGAGTCACCTGCATCCATTAACTCCCTGAAATGAATTTGAAGTCGTCACTCCCTCTAGTGGGTGGTCGTCCTACACTACGTTTATAGGTTATCATATCAACCTTCAATTGTCCACTGCTGAACATAAACTTCAAACTTAGGGAGTTGGGGGGAAAGGGATTGTTAGTAATGGAGACTGAGAATCCCATTGCTAGCAATATACCCAACCAGGTCGACCTCCTCGCGGTTCCCCCTGGAAACTATCATGGTTAATTCCTGAAGAATTCATCATGATAGGCTAACTGGCCTGTTTTCATTCTCATCTATCACCCTTCACTGGTGCACCGCCAGCGTATCCCGTTAGCGCAGGCGGGGTTACCATACCATTTTCACCCATCAAAAAAAACTTAGGGAGTTTTGTCAGTAGTTGCCGCGTGTGGCAGGTGAATTAGCAATCGCAGTTAGGTTTCGGAGATGTTTTAAGAGGAACGCTGCTGTCCATCTCTCCCCCTCCCCCATTAGTCGTCTCTTACGACATACAAAGGAAGAAGTGATCTATTCTATGCCGGGACCACACGGCCGAAAACTAGGTAATTTGACTAGTACAGAACTTTTCCTGTTTTATGGGATATTAGGCTATATATTAGAGCTCAACTCACCCTCCTTCCAAAGCAGCACTAAAAGAGAAATGAGTATTTATTATGGACCATGTAATGATAAATAGTACTCGTATTTATCAAACGAAACAATGGCTTGAAATATGTATATTCGCCTTTGCTAACATTGTTATTAACTTATTGTTGTTAATGTATGTTTTAGTGCAATAAAGAATATATATATATATATATATATATATATATATATATATATATATATATATATATATATATATATATATATATATATATATATATATATATACTTTTTAACAGAAGATGTAGATCCAGGCGGAGCAAGTGGATGAGAATATGTTTTTGTTTGTTTTATACAATTTAGAATGGCAAACAAGCTGACGGCCCATCTGATGGAAAGTGGTAACCGTCGCCTATAGAGCATGAGCAGTACCATGGACATAACAGAGTATACTGTTTCGCCCATGATACCTCCCATGCGTTGCCATTCCTGAGGACTCAGGTGTTATTCCTCTGTACCCAGTAAATTCACCCCATATCCCACCCTTCAAACCAAAACACAACCTGAAAACACAACTACTTCACGGTTGAAACACGAATGGGACAGAGGTACCCAAGCAATCGGCTTTTGTACAGTCTCCCTCTGGTATATATATATAAACTAGCCAGAACCAAAAGTAACTTATGCACTTCTCCACCCCAAAAATTACATTAACATCTTCTTAACCTTGTCCCAATTATTTATTTTTAGTCCCCGTAATGTTTTCCTTTTTTTCATCTGTTTCCAGTCATTTCTGTATCCACTCCCATTCTGGCCATATCATCATTCAAACAGTCCATCCATCACTTTTACTACTACAAATCATATAACAACACAAAGATATTTAGCGATAAGGCCGCCCATTGTTGCCTCTTTATCTCGCTTATATGTAATTAAGCTTATGTAATTAATTATTCATGTTGTTTGTGTACATATTGTTAATCTTTATAACCGGTATCATTCTTTAAAGGGAACAATAAAGAGTTACAATTCGTTCATACAACCCGTTTGATGGTAAACGGTCATTATAGCCTATTGCAGGTTTCCTTGCAACAGTAGGGGTGTCACGTGCGCGTTGCTGGCCCTAAAGCAAAATTTATACAAACATTTCGATGAACCCTATACTGTATTTTGACATGATCTCAGCCTGAACATTCTCAGGAACCTCTCTGTAACCGCACTGTACGTGACCATTGAGGTTCAAGCGCGCGAAGATGAATTCCCGTCGATGGTGAGCGGTGCGATGATAAATGGTGACGTTAAGTGAGAGACCAGCAGTTACGATTTTATTCATACAATTATAATAGTAATGTTTCGTATTTACCTGAGTATTGTATGCGGTAAACCAGTTAAGGAGTCAATCCCGTGCCGGTCCTTGTCTGAACCCACACCGAACGGATACAGAGGCGACATGTTCTGAAAATAAAAAAACAGCTTCATTAATAATTTTACAATACAATAATTAAGAGCTCTCTCCTACTTTCGACGTGGATGCACCACGTCGTGGTCACGACAGGACTGAAGTGAGCGGCGTCTTCAGCTGGCAGCCCACGCAGTCTCTAGCAGTACCCTCACACTGTCACCATTATAATCTAGAGCAGGGATTCCCAAACTTATTTTGTCTACTGCCCACTTTGAGATTAAATGATTATTTAGTGCCCCCATTTCTTCACCTACTTAAAAACTACTATTACTTCAAATAAAATTAATCAATTGCGTAAATTTGTATTTTTTTTTTCTGGGTCTCTTACCGCCCCGTTTAGGTTTGCAGCGTCCACAAGGGGGAGTTATCGCCCACTTTGGGAAAAGCTAATCTAGAGCCACCCTACACAACGCAATCCACGTCGAAACGTCGACAATAAAAAAGCAAATATATAAGTACTATATACCTGCAATTTTTTATCACAGTAAGTCCCAATAGTGTATTTAAAAAACAACGTATCTGAGTCAATAAGTATAATTACAGTCACGCCTAAAATGCATGCATACAAAGTTGCGGGTAGAAGCTAGTTTGATATTAGTAGATCTCCAATACCTTCCCCTTGGCGGCGGCGGCAACGGCGGCATGGTAGGCGCCGTGCGCGGCCGCCTGCGCGAGCATCAGGTCGCCGCGGAGCAGCGCCAGCTCCCGCTCTTTGCCCTTCGAGCCCGTACTGCTGGCTGATGACGACGGCTTCCCTATAACAGAACCACTCAATATATTGTCTGTCCTTGTCATCTAAATGAATATTCCTATTTGGTCGACCTCCATGGACCTCCTGAAAACCATTGTGGTTAAGGTTTGTTGAATTTGTCAAGATGGGTCAACTGACCTGATTTCATCCTCACTGGTAATTCTTCACAGGTGCCCCGTTAGCGTATACCGATTAGATAACGGAAGTGGAGTTACCATTCTATCTTCACTCATTAATAAACATATATAAACTAAGGATAGGGAATATACATATATTTGAGTTACAATACAATATCTACATATTTTAATTGCAATATGTATATATTGGTTCAACGAATATGTTAAGTCTGTTATCCAAAAAATAAATATCCGACCGATATGGGCGATATCAAAATAACGGGTGATGACCTATTTTCCTTTAATATACAGAGTAACCCAATATATAGATATCGGATCAGTACCCATATTACCTATGCCTAATATACACGCAAGTTTGACGATATCAACTATAACTTACTCTATATTAGGCTTCGATAATTATCTAACATGTACTCATTGAGATAATTCTAATGAGCCCCAACACGCTATAATTACTGTAGTTTGCTGAAGAATTGAGCAGACTGCTTTGTGCTGCAGATCAAATCAATGTTATCATGTCATCATGGAAATACCATCAAAGTAACAGTACACTCAATTTTAAAATTAATCTATCTTCTGGAATTGGGTATAATACCTTTGGAAAACAGAAAATGACATGATAGTATTCAAACGCTAGAACATATCTTCATAAATTATAACTTCTCGATCACATCAACCAGAGGGAGACTTTGTACTAAAGTCGATTGCTTGGGTACCTCTGTCCCATTCGTGTTTCAACCGTGAAGCAGTTGTGTTTGCATGGCTGTGTTTCGGTTTGAAGGGTGGGATATGGCGTGAATTTACTGGGTACAGAGGAATAACAGCCGAGTCCTCAGGAATGGCAACGCATGGGGGGTATCATGGGCGAAACAGTATACTCTGTTATGCTCATGGTACTGCTCATGTCTATAGGCGACGGTTACCACTTTCCATAAGGTGGGCTGTCAGCATGTTTGCCATTCATATAAAAAAAAAGTTGTATAAATGCCAAGTTATATAAAAAAAAAGTTTACGAACAAAAAAAAAAATTGATACAGATATAATTGAAATACGCAGATTCAATAACAAAAAACAAAATATATTTTTATAAAAGCAGCATTATATGTATTATTATATATGCATAATGGCAAAGGAAGAATGGAACAATACAGACAACATTTATAAAGAGTGTTGCTAACATATAAATTTGTCAATAACCACAGATAGTATTAATTATTGTATTACATTGCATATAATTAATAAAAATCTATATATTCCTTTGAGAGCTATGATGCTATAGACCGATACGATAAAGTTATAACACTTTTATGCGTGCAAGGTTTAAAAGAAACTCACTGGTTTGTGATGGTGCGGTGGGCTGCTTGCTGCTCGGCTTGGACTGGTGCGGCGCGGACACCAAATTATTCAGAGACGCCAGGCTCGACAGCGACTGCGAGTGCATCGTAGACGGAGACGAGGTCTTTGGGAAGCCGTAAGATGACCCTGCAATTGAGATATGGTTATCAGACACTCTCTTCCTCAATTTATCTAAAGTTTAAACTAAATATTAGAAGAATTAATAAGGCATAAAGAAAAATCCATATGCCACCAACATTGCAAGCGTAGTCTCCATTATTAGCAATAAATCCCATTAGATTGACCTCCAGGTGGTTCCTCCTGGAAATCATCTTGTAGAATTCCAGGCGTATTCATCACGACGGGCTAACTGACTTGTTTTTTCATTCTCATCTATGACCTCTCAGGGCCACCAGCGTATACCGTTAGTGCAGGAGAGGTTACCATTTCATTTTTATCCAAAACAAAAGAAACCCGTCGGTGCATACTGATAATGAAGTGGAGATAGGAGGAACGTATATTTTTTATCTTAAAACCCATAGATGGAGGGGGAATGGACTGTTAGTAATAAGAAGTAGTGAAACCAAGTTAGGTCATTGTCATATGCAGCTCTTGGGAACTACTGTGATTAATTCCAAGTGAATTTGTAAGCCAATAAATAAGTTAATAAGGTAAGGTAATTGACCTAACTTAATTATCTACCATCTCTGACTGCCAGAGAAGATCATTAGAGCAGGTGAGATTGATTTGGGTTATGCAATATAGAAAAGCAACAGTGAGAAAGAGATAGAAAGATACGTGCCCCACTCACTCATGTTGGGTTGCGAACTCGAAGTACTAGTGGAGGGGCTCTTCTCTTTCGTTGACGCACTCGATGATGTACTACTTCTGCCTGATCTGTAATATAAGAACAAGCATAATTTAGAAAGGAAACTCCATACAAAACCACTAAGCCAGCTGATCAGTGAGGAAGGATGATTGATACAAAAAGGGTGTATTGAGATTTCTTGATGATTCTAAAGGATCAAGACATGCACGTGACATCTTTGGTGTTGCAGGCGTCCATAGACTAGATTTGACATCTTTGAGAGAGCCATGTATGAATAACTCACAAAGAAACACAAGTGTGACAGAGACATTTGAGCAGGTGACTTTTCTACAACGTATCCCTCTGGTAAATGCAATGATGGAAGTATGAATTAATGAATCGTAGATTAAATATATGTTAATGTACCTGTCATTTCGACTAGGTTGTTTCCCCGGCTTCGACGGTTGTTTCAAGCCGGTGGCGGACAAGGCTGATAGGGCTGAGTACGGGTCGCCCAGTGGTGGGAAGTTCAGCCCGGAAGCTTGGAGGCGGGCGAGGTAGTCCTGAGCTGCTAGGTGTGACGCCATCGACCACCAGGCCGCGCCTAATAAACAAATTCTTAATGAGTAACTGCTTTAAATAATAATATTAATAAATGCTACACAATCATCATCATCATCATCATCACCTTTGATCTCTATCGTAGTTTATTGGTATTATAGTATATAATCTGTAAATATGTACGTATATTTTATATTTGTATATATGTTTTTATTTTATACTAGTAGCCCGTCCCGGTGTCGCACTGGTAGACATTTTTACATTTTAAAAAGTGGCCATTAAGGCTACACACGCAACGGAAGCTTAAAAATAGAGACTTCTCCCGTTTTCCTAACATTTCCCTTCACTGCTCTGCTCCTATTGATCGTAGCCTGATGAGAAGTATACTATAACCTGCCCAGGAGTATGAAGAATAATTGTACCACGTTTCGTTAAAATTCGTCAAGTAGTTTTTGTTTCTATAACGAATATACGGACAGACAAAAATTTTACTGATTGCATTTTTGGCATCAGTATCGATCACTAATCCCCCCCTGATAGTAATTTTGGAAATATATTTCATGTACAGTATAGATAGATATTTGTATACGTAAATAATATTTGTTTAATATATTCATGTATGTATATTTATATTTGTAAATATGTTTTTATAATATATATTTGCATATATATCATACAAGCTCTTTTGAGTATAAACTTCTGTGAATAAACTGAGTTGTGACCATTTTGTATTGTTATGGCACACGCGCAAAATGAAAAATTGTACTTGGCTTTTATATATTTTATTTAATAATTTCTCTTATCACGCTTTTTATGTATATCTGTGTCTGTTATAATCTGTGTGCTGTAAGTAATGCAAATAAATTATATATCTATCTATCTACACGTATGTAATATTTATTTAATGTATTCATGTATGTATATTTATGTATTGTAATCTTATTTTTATATTTAGAATATTTTGCATTTTGTTTGATTCCTTTTATGTATTTACTGTGTCTGACTAGCGCCATCTACCTTTCTCTCTGTACTTATCCATTCTTTATGCCAGGTTGTATGTAAGAGATTGCTTCTAGCGATAAGGCCGCCTTTTGTATGTGCACATTCTGTATAAATACTCCTTGTATACATCTCTACTGTGCGCAATAAAGAGTTTGTTATTATTATTATTGTTCTCCGTTGTGTGTTATGATTTGTAAGTCAAGTATGATTGTTAGTAAGACGGACTACCAGTCCCGTTGCTAGCAATATGACAGGTCGACTTCCACGTAGTCGCCCCTGAAAACCATCATGCTAAATTCTAGGTGTATTCATCACGATGGGCTAACTGACCTGCCTTTTCATTCTCACCTATCATCCTTCACTGGTACCCCGCCAGCGTATACCGTTAGCGCAGGCTACTGTTCCATTATCATACATCCATTCTATTATTATATCATTGTTTCAACCGTGAAGCAGTTGTGTTTGCATGGCTGTGTTTCGGTTTGAAGGGTGGGATATGGCGTGAATTTACAGGGTACAGAGAAATAACACCTGAGTCCTCAGGAATGGCAACGCATAGGGGTATCATGGGCGAAACAGTATACTCTGTTATGTCCATGGTACTGCTCATGTCTATAGGCGACGGTTACCACTTTCCATCAGGTGGGCCGTCAGCTTGTTTGCCATTCTATGTTGTATAAAAAAAATACATAAAAAAACACTAATGTGGATAACACAACCCATCGTAGCAGGCCTAAAATATTTAGTATTCTAAAACAAATATATACATACATATCAATACACTGTCAAACACGACTTTGTAATACATGTATTCCCGTTATTTTTCATCCTTATTGCATTAACATTTTTGTATAATCCACATTACCGTCTGTATGATAAACAGGACGCGTCCCAAATTATCAGAACATCGATACGACATTTGATTGGATTGAGGAAAGACGAGAATTTTAAATCGTATCTTTTCAATTATACGATTTTCAAAAGAAATTTTCTCGTATGTTTTTTTCGCAGTCGCTTAAAACTTGACTATATTATATTTATTAAAGATTATGTCCCACGAAGAAAAAAACAATCTTCGATTGTGACAAAACAAGTTATTTTGGTTTAAAAATTAAACTATTTTGAATGTGGCCAATCTGTACGTCAATCTATAAATCATTTAAGATATAAAAGAATTTTCCAAAGTGATTTAGGACTGATGGAGTTATGAAGTAACAATATAATATAAAAAACAAATTTCAGCCCAATTAAGAACCTTGTTTTTGAAGTTAATAAAATTGTAAGAAGATGACGCTATGATTTAATTATAAACTAGGTTTTGGTCCACTGCTTCGTACGCGCGAATCACAGATGTAAGAAACCCAATGATAGGTATAGACTATTTTTAGATGTGTCAAGATAAAATATGACATATACCAGATTTTAAGTTACACAATCTAGAATCACAACCGCATCCGATTTGGAGCAGTAGTTTGTGCGTGATGCCGGAACAAATAGAAACAGAAGACAGGTACAAATTCTAAAAAATAAAGTTTTCGCATCCATTGCTCTTATTAAGACCTTTCATATTAATTTTTCTTAAATATCTCTCATGTACAGATATCGTATAGTTACAATTTTATTATATTATAAAACATATGAAGTTTGTGAAGATGTTTACATTTTTGTTACTCATCATCATCTCAGGCATCATCTGTCCACTGCTGAACATAGGCCTCCCCCATAGACTGCCATAAGGAACGGTTCTGAGCCACCTGTATCCACTAACTCCTTGCAATACATTTGAGATCGTCACTCCATCTAGTGGGGGATCGTCTTCAACTGCGTTTACCCGCACATAGTCTGGGCTTATTACTCAATAACGGTAAAACAGCAGTATTTCCGAACCGATACGACAACATAACCTTCAAGAAAAGAGCATATTTCTTTTTAAAAGGCCGGCAGCACACCTGCAATGCCTTTAATGTTGTGGGTGATCATGGGCTGCGGTAGTCACTTACCACCAGGTGAGCCGCATGCTCGTTTGCCCCCTGTGTTGTAAAAAAAAGGAAGAACAGATTTTAATGCAATTTAGTACAGGGGTTAGTTATATCCTAAAACACATGATATTTTATATACTGATTCACGCAGGCAGAGACGCGAGAAGCAGCTAGTACTGAAATATATTCTTTTCATTTTATGAACACTCACTGGCAGCCGGGTGGAGGCCGAGTGAGGCCGCTTGGTTGGCGGCGACGCCGAGCGTCGTCGGCGGCGGATACCGGCCGCTGAAGCCGAAGAGCGCCTGCGCCTGCGCCTGCGCGGCCGCGCCGCCGCTCGCAGCGCCATCTCGACCCCAGTATGCTGTAAAAAACACAGTAAAAATAATTATTATTAATAAGCCCTTATTCAGACATTACAAATAATATGTTAATAATTTATAAATATGTATTATTACATACATATATACATATCTGTCACGCCTGTCCCCGTTTGGGAGATACTTAATATTGTTGTTTAGATTTCTGTACTGGCCACCCCCTACTTTCTATACTACTGTGTTAGGTTGACTGGAAGAGACCTTTGCTTACATTGTTTCGGATTGTTAATATTACTGTATATTTTAGTGCAATACATAATGTATACAAAATAAATTATTACAAAACGGTCAAAATCACATCATAAGAGTTCCTTTGTAGGTTTTCAGTACAGACCTCTGAAAAGTATTAGCTAAACGATTTAGGTATTTTTTACGAATGTTCATTACTAACTTTGGCTGCAATGGCCAAAAAAATAGAAAATATTTTAAATATTATTTTAAGTGAAATTGTTTAAGTAATATGTACCAGCTTAGTACTTAGCACAGAAGCTAAACATTTAGTACATAATTATTATTTCAGCCGTTAACTGTACACTAGTGGATATAAGCCTTCCCCATAAGGAGGGTTTTGCCAGTATTTGCCACGTTTGGCAGGTGGGTTTGCAACCACATTTAGGCTTTTAGAGATGTTTTAAGAGGTTCGCTGCTGGCCATCCCTCGCTCTCCCTTAGTCGTCTCTTATGACACTAACGGGAGAGGAAGGGGGTGGCCCCTTCTATGCCGGGGCACACACGGTAGTACATAGTTACTTAAATTAAATTTAGTAACTAAATGCCAATTATATTTCATGGTATAATATATAAATGCATAGTCTGGGGGGGAGGGATTGTTAGTAATTGGGTCTAACTGACTAATTGTTAGCAATACACTCTATCAGATCGACCTCAACGTGGTTCTCCCTGGAATCTATCGTGATTAATTCTAGAGGAATTCATAACGAAGAACTAATTAATCTGCTTTCATCTTCACTTATCATCCATCACTGGTGCCACGCCAGCGTATACCGAGGCGGGGCTTCACTTATCATTCCATTATCACCCATTAAAAAAATGCATAGTCTACGGTAATATATTCTTCATTCATAGCGAATGAATTGCCGCTTCCAACCAAACTTAGTACGCACCAACAAACCATACAAAAACATCTAATTAGCAGTAACGCACCGACGTCTTCCGACTCCATGTAAGAAATGCATTAGAAATACCGCAAATGTTTTATTTATTTCTTAAAACCTACTCGTCTCTATCATCATCGTCATCATTTCAGCCATTAACTGTCCACTGCTGAACTGCCTTCATAAGGAGTTTTGCCAGTAGTCGCCACGCTTGGCAATTAGGCTTTTAGAGATATTTCAAGAGGGATGCTTGCTTTCGATTCGTCTACCATTAAGTTCCTTAAGTCGCCTCTTACGACACCCACAGGAAAAAGAAGGGGTGGCCTATTGTATGGCTAATGTTCCACTAATAATTAAATTGTGCGCCATTAAAAAAAACTTCTTTTGGACTTCGATTGGGACAAATCCAGTCATTTTGATTTCAAATTCAAACAGTGACCGTTTACCATCAGACGGGCTGTATGCTTGTTTGCCACTTTTGTGGTATAAAAAAATTTAAACTATTGAACCGATTTTGATAAATTGTCTATGGGACCAATCTGTAAATATATCCTTTCAAATAAAAAAGGAAGTTTCCAAATCGGTTTAGAACCGAGGGAGTTATGAGGTAACGAACAAAAAAAGAATAGAACCGCATTGAGAATCTCCTTCTTCTTGCAATCAGTTGAAAAAAAAAGTATAGTTAACATTTAATTTGTTACGAGTTTGTTTTCTTTGCCCAACAATCTAGTTGTAAATAATACGCGAATACACCTTATTAAAAAAAAAAATTAACTAACGAAATACCCCCCACCGAGAAGTGCGAGGCGAAGTGTCTCACTTATGGTTATTTCGGTATATTTCACACTGAGTACGTTATAAATACCCCATCGGTGTCCTATACAAAACATCTGACGTCACCAATCAGTCACAGTATTAATTAATAGAATTTCCATTTAATTTTCAACCCTATTTCGTTTTAATAAGAATCGTGTAATCAATGTTGTACGTCGAAGATATAAACAGAACGTATGGATAATTTGAACTTTATTCCCATGTGATAAAGTGTGATGTGAACCGGTGAACCGTAAAGATCGCGGGTCGTTGACCTAGGACGGGTTTACGGTGGAATAGCACGCGATTTACTTGGTGGTACAAGTATTGGTACTAGTGATTCGCAATTGTCACGATTTAGAACAATTTTACTAAAGTGACAATTCTGTAACTTCGCCAAGCTGCGACGTCGCGTACGCATTAAAAAGAAATTGAAACGAATACATTTTGTTTTACAAATTATATAAGTAGATATTTCACAAAAATAAAAATTAAACCCGGTTAAGTGTGAGTCGAAATATATACCTACTTTACGGTTTTTGGATTTTTTCCTTTACTTGTACAAAAAACAATGTCATATACATTGTTTTTTGCCAAATTTCATGATTATAGATTGTTAGAATATTGTCATATTGTTAGAAATGGTGCTGTCAAACTACATTGCTAACAATCCCTTCCCCTCCCCCCGTTTTAAAGGGTTCCACACCTACTCGTATGTTCGAACTATGTTCTCGCCGTATGAACCCCGGCATAGAATATGCCACCTCTTCCTTTTCCGTGGGTGTCGTAAGAGGCGACTAAGGGAGGGCGAGGGATGGGCAGCAGAGTTCCTCTTAAAAAACCTCTAAAATCCTGACTGCGGTTGCCAACCCACCTGCCAAGCGTGGCAACTACTGACAAAACTCCTCTTATGGTGAAGGCTTATGTTCAGCAGTGGACAGTTAAAGGCTGAAATAATAATAATAAAAAAAACACCTATGTTAGTCTGTACGTCCGTCAAGGCTATTTCTGTAAGGAACGCATGTAGGTATCAAGCTGAAATTAATATTTAAATAATTGTCCAACAAACCCAAATCTTTCCTCCCACCATGGGGGAGGCCTATTTTTAGCAGTGGGCAGTAAACGGTTGATATAAAAACCTGCCTACAATCACCTGAAACTGTGGAAAAATGTAACTATTATGCTTTACGATAAATGTAACTATTTATCGTAAAATTATTAATATGAGATTCTCACAAGCTCTCATATGTGATATTATATATGTAGTTAGCAAAACATTTTTTTTTTCTATTTCTATTGACCCTCCAAAAATGGCTTCCATGTTTAAAATTTATTTCTTTACATTTATACGTAAGTCTTCGGGTCATCGACTTACAAATGTGCACCAAATTTCAACTCAACCGGTCCAGTAGTTTCGAAGCAAATTTGCTGTGACAGACAGATGGATAGACACACACTTTTGATTAAAAATAGTGGAACTGAAAAACTTCTTTTAGAAGTCACTTAAAAAGTGCGAGTATATTCATTCAAAGGCTTTCTAATGACTCAGAAATACTTAAAAAAATGTAGAAATCTCGATGACTCAATACAAAACAGCATCAATAAAATCTAACGGTAACAAAAAGTATTCTTGGCAAGGAAGCCTGGTTTTTTTCACGGTCAATAGTATCTCAAACTGAAATGGGACAATGCTGCGCCATTGAACTTGACCTTGGCTGTGTCAAGGTTGTTCTCGTTGACCTAATAATGTACTACAAATTTGGGTCATAAAAGGAACTGCTCATGTAACTGGAAGGTCATCAATTTATTAATATTTTTTATAGCACGTGACGATTGGAAATGGCGTTTTACTTTATTTACTTTTTTTATACAACTTAGAATGGCAAACAAGCTGACGGCCCACCTAATGGAAAGTGGTAACCGTCACCTATAGACATGAGCAGTACCATGGACATAACAGAGTATACTGTTTCGCCCATGATACCCCCATGCGTTGCCATTCCTGAGGACTCAGATGTTATTCCTCTGTACCCTGTACTTTTATTATTTTCCTAATAAAGGCTTTTTGTTTGTATCGTAAAGGCGAAAAATTCGACCCCACGTTATAGTCGCTGAAACCGTAAAAGCTACGGCTCCGACGTTTTAGGGCGTAGACTGCGTCCAAGAGGGAAATCTCCACGTGATCCACCTTGAAACCTACATTGTGGTGAAATGGTCAAGATATGCCGACTGACCCAACATCATCTTGACTTATCACCGATCACTAGTACCCTACCAACGTATACTGATAGCGCAGGAAGGATTACTATTCCATTACCATTTCATAAAAAAAAAAATGTAATTATAGACACACGCTTCCGCATTCTGAAATTAAATATTTTAAATCTATTAAAATGGATTTTGTTACGATCGAAGTTGCTGCTATATATGCGGAACAAAATTTACTTGCTCGCGGCCAACAGGATCTCAAATTGTGAAATAGGTCAATGCTGTGTCGCTGAACTTGACCTTGACTGTGTCAAGGTTATTGGTTGTAACCTAGTACTCTATAAAATTGGGTCAACAAGGAAAATAATCTTTGAACGCTGCATCGATATACCGCCTGTGGACCACAAGGCAGATCTAATTTTAGGCGACTGACAAAAGAAGGGATTTCTAATTCATCTATTTGTTTTTAAGAATATTTTACGCAATTACATCGTCAATTATGAATGGACATTGACAATTCAATTTGTAATCGATAGGGTATTGTTGTATTGTTTACCCCATATTGATTTTGTGATGATTGGCTCTGCGGTTTTTCTTTGTACTTTGTAAGCTGTACGAATCCGCGTTCTCAATTTAAATATTTAAAATCTATTGCGTCTACAAAACATCTTGTCGTTTATTTGTGGGTTTTATACGTTTTAAAATAAGAACAGCGGGATTACTAAGTTAATATTAATTTTATTTGATTGAGCAATTCTGTCGTGTGTGTTACGATATCTTGGCCAATTCTGAACCGAATTTCTTTTTTCGAATCACTGCGTGTTGGTTTTAACATTATATTTGTCACTAAAAAAGTCATTATTTTTTGTTTGCAATCTCGCATGTTTCTAATTATAAGGCGCGCTACACACTTACCGCCAAAGAGTCCAGCGGCGTCAAGCAACCCGTCCGGCGGCGGCTTGCCGGCCGGCTCGCCGCCCTCGCCGTTCTCCTTCTCCATACCCCGCCTGAAAATACCATCAATCGATAAGTATTGGCCTGCAGATATGAAATGAAATGAGATTAATTGCAATAAATGTGGTAAGTTGAAATAATCTTATACATTTTTCGGTAGTCTTAACATTCAGCTTGTGGGGGGAAAGGGATTGTTAGTAATGGGATCTAATGAACCCATTGCTAGCAATACACTCTATCAGGTCGACCTCCACGTGGTTCCCCCTGGAAACCATCGTGAACAATTCTTGTTGAATTCGTCACAATGAGCTAACTGACCTGCTTCATCCTCATCTATCATCCTTCACTGATGCCCCGCCGGTGTATACCGATAGCGCGGGCGGGGTTACCATTCCATTATCACCCATTAAAACAAAAAAAATTCAGCTTGTTTGGCATGTACAATTTTTTCATATATTATTATTGTTCAATATTAATCAAAAGGAATACTAAATACTAATACCAAGAAAGAGATTTCAATTACATGTTTTCCGCGAATTGTAATCATTCTATGGTCACTTTTTAGTTTTCTGTTATAAAATTTTATATATATTTTTTTCAATATTAATTCTTAAGTGATTTGAATTTAGCCATTCCAAATATAGGCAACAGTATCATGAATATCAGTATTAAAACTGGTTTGTCGATTATGTGATAACACTACTGAAAAATGGTCCGCAAATAAGGTATATTGGTGTTCAGCTGCAAGAGATAAGTCATATAAAATAATAAGGGTCCCAAAATTGTTTCTTGGGGAACTCCCACATAAATAACAGTAGTTTTAACTTAAATAGGTATTCCTTCAGTATCCTTTAGACATATTGACGACAACTTTCAAGATAACTGGTTAAGCGTTGTAATACTAGTCCTCGTGGACCATATTTTTCAAATATGAAAAACTTTTTATATTTTAATTGCTTAAGAATAATATGCTTCAGGCACTAAGTCAATTTCGTTGTCTATTTTTTTTTTTATGTTTGTTACTTTATAACCGTTTGTTTCGTCAGATTTAAATCAATTTGGAAAGTTCTTTTTTTCTCAAAAGGGATGCTTTTTTTATACAATTTAGAATGGCAATCAAGCTGATGGCCCACTTGATGGAAAGTGGTAACCATCGCCTATAGATATGAGCAGTACCATGGACATAACAGAGTATACTGTTTCGCCCATGATACCCCCCATGCATTGCCATTCCTGAGGACTCAGGTGTTATTCCTCTGTACCCAGTAGATTCACGTCGTATCCCACCATTCAAACCGAAACACAGCCATGCAAACACAACTACTTCACGGTTGAAACACGAATGGGACAAAGGTCCTGTATGTATGGAGCAGTGGAAAGTTAATGGCTAATATGATGATGATATCATATTACTTTTGAAAAAAGAAATACAAATTTTTCTAAATTATTAATTAAATATCAACAGCTCTTAATTACTATTATATTTATTTCTTTTGAGCTAAAAATAATCCCAAATTGCTACTTCAACTGCAACAACCCAAAATTACCATTTAAATATATATTTTATTTTTCTTTCGAGTAACAAACAAAATAAAAATAAAATTTCCTAAATTGCCATTTAACAAGAGCCCGAAATTACAGAGTGATACCTAAACCAACAGGGGGGTGGTGCCCCCGGGGCCCGGGGGTGGTATGAATGGAGTCAGCAAGCAAGCGCCCTTTGCAGCGCTCCCACGCACTGAATGGCTGATAAAAATGAACAATTATTTTCTATTTTTTTTTTTCTTAAATATTATTTACAAGCTTTCACCGATGGCTTCATTAACATGAAAAAGTAGCTTGTGTCTACTTTTTCACAAACTAATAAATTTACTTTGACACTTAAAACATTATTTAAGAAGTAAAGATTGCACTCTAGCTCTCTTATTCATAAAGACGTCAAATCTCTCATAAACCTATTTTAGCTCTTTTGTCCCTTTCTTTTATGCTAAATTCCAAATTTAAAAGAAAGTGATAGTTGAAATAGGTTTGTAGGTTTTAGTTATGAACAAGGTGGTTAAATATTAATGGAAATAGAGTATTGTGGTTTAGGATTGACTTTCATGTTTCAAGATTGATAATCAGAAACTGAATATTTCTTCCAGAAAACTTAACACTGGGGTGTATTACGGAATGAAATAATTAGTAATGGAGATATAATAGCCCTGTTTGGGTTAGTTTAATGTTGATAATACGATACCGGTTGCATCGCACGGCTTGAAGATCCTTTTATCCCGCGAGAGAGTGCTGTCGAATCGCACCTGAGCACAACTATGATCGGATAGATGGAAAAAAAAAACAATATGACGTTGGTGCGAAAAGTGATCATGGGATATATCGTTCTAGGAAAGTTATCGCTAACCGTCCTCTTAGCCAACCCCTCGAGTTTTAATTTTTCGCCCATTCAAGTCCTAGCAATATACTCTCTATCAGATCGACCTCCACAGAGTTCCCCACGGTTTCACACGATTATCTTAAATAATTCTTGTGGAATTCGTCACGTGGGGCTAACTGGCCTGCTTTCATTGTCACCTATCATCCTTGACTGGCCAGCGTATACCGATATCGTGGGCGGGTTTCCCATTCCAATATCATCCATAAAAAACGATGGTGTAGTGGTATATTTAGAAACCTTTTAAAATACGAAATAGATTGTTATATACTCGTGTAGCTGTCATAAAAAATTCATACTAATTCAGAAACAACTATTTGGGCTCTTAACTAGTTCGGTTCTCTTCTATTGATGACGAGGAGCTGATGTTAGACCTGAAAGTTAGCTGATGAAATTTAGAACGCTTATTACTAAACCCGTATATAGTCGTATAGGGAGATAAAGGATATGGCCTGGGATAGAACTGGCTGGAAGAAGATGCATGAATTTGTTGCACCGACAAGAGGAAACTCTTAAATGAAAAGAAGATTAATTAGTAAATCCATCGACCATGGGTCCATATATGTACACTGTCGGTTATGAAGCACGTGTTATTGTAACAAAAGATTACAAAAAACAAATGAAGTATTTTTAGTTTTTTTTTTCTACTTATTTTATTCTTATTTTAGAGATGCCAATTTTCATAATTTATTTCGCAATCAAGAATGTTTATTACTTCCACGTTTAACACATACTATGTCACTATTGTAAAAACTTATGTATAGAAAAAAACAAACTTTTTTTCCTGCTAGTGTCCTAGTTTTCATTAAAACTATTAAACTATCCTTTGATTATTAGTAGATAAAAATAAAAAAAAAATGAGTAAAAATTACTAAAAAAAAAATTACTTCTTTATTTTCTCATACACCAAAATTTTCATTGAAAGTACCGAGTTTACATACAAGGATAATGCAATAAGGGGCACCACCCCGCCCTCGATTCACGCTTGCCCCTGCCCCCTCCCCTCGCGCCACTCTCACAGCTGATGGGGGGCCGCCTCAGGCCGGGCGTAGTACTACGTACCGTATTTGAATATACCGCAAATTATTTTTATGTACACTTGGCTCAAAATTATATTATAATATAGTAAATGTAATAAAATTAAATAGAATAATTTAAGCTTTTTAAACGATTTCTAAAAGAAAGAACTCTTCGGTATATTTTATAATAATAATATTTATTTACTCAGGCAACGTAACGTCCATTTTGTTAGTTATAATTTACTTAACCTATGTTAGTAAATGAGCGGTTAATACACACGTTTTATAACCTGTCCCACCCAATATATTAGGACAGGACAGTCGATTTTCCGGTATTTATAGTTATACTAGCTGACCCGGAAAACTTTCCACCATATAAATAGTTTTTTTTTTTTCTAGGCAGAAACACCCTAATCACCTATCAGTATGAAATAATACTTTACGACCTTTTCTCATATCTACAAAATATACATAAAAAAATCATAAAAATCGATAGAGCCATTTCGGAGGAGTGCGATCACAAACACCGTGACGAATTTTCGTAGATCTCTATTTTTTTTTTAAACAATAATAGCCTAAATCACTCGCTGATAATGTAGTTTTCTATAGGTGAAAGAATTTTTAAAATATGTTGAGTAATATTTGAGTTTATTTATTACAAATAAACAAACAAATATTTCCTCATTATAATATTAGTATAGACGTACCCCCTTATTCCTAAAAACTAATACCTTTTACAAACTTATTATTACAATTACACTGTTTTGTCACTTTCCTTCAAATTGTGAATTTAGCACAAAAGAAAGAGACAAATAGATAGGGATAGATTACGCCGCCAAGTCTGAGGAGAATTTAATAAGTTATTCTTGCAATCGATAAAGTTTACCGCCACCTCGGTCCCAATTCCCATATTAATTTCGTGACGATTACTGGCTGTAATTTATGAAATATCGAAACAATCTACTTCCGGTTTCTAAATTCAAATATTTGAAATCTAATGTGTGTACAAAACTAAGAACAAGGAATTACATAGAAGAATTGATAAAAAACTGTAAATCCTAGGATTACCTCCTTTCTTCTTATCCAAACTTAGACAGACGTGACAGATATGTATGTATGTATTTCTGTGATAATTTCAACAAAATTTTGTTAAACTTTTTATTAATTTCTATTGAAACAGTGTATTTAGTTTGTTCTACTTGTAAATCAGAAAAGACATCGTCCCACCGCTGCTACCCATGTTATAAGACAAAATGGATATGTTTTAAAAAATAAATCTTTATTCCCTATTTATTTAAACACATATATAATAAACTTTTATTTAAATACACAATACAACGTGTGGGCAAGACGAAGGATGGAGCTGAAGCTGCCTAGTCAGCATAAAGGGAACATAGCAATGCACAAACCCATTCCACGAAATTGTAAACAAGTCCGGTTAAAATATAAACTTATATATAATGTTATATACAATAAAAAAAAATATCTTATATATTTGAAGGAGATTTTGCACAAAAGTCGTTTGCTTGGGTACCTCTGTCCCATTCGTGTTTCAACCGTGAAGCAGTTGTGTTTGCATGGCTGTGTTTCGGTTTGAAGGGTG